TAAACAATAGTTTTGAAGGAAAAACTTCTAAATAATAACAACATGATGCTTGTAAGAGTTGTAGGAAGCATAATCTTCAAGGTAGTCTTTTCTGGATGCCAGAAAAGGGGAACCCTCCCTCCCCAGATGGTATATGTCACATGCATTTTAATGAAATTTACTTCATTTAAAATACTTAAAAACACCTTTTACCTGGTGAATCAGGAACACCTTTTAAAATTAATATTTAAAGTTGATTAATAGGTAGGGTAAAACAATTAGACAAACTGATGAACATCCATAATGACACAAAGTCACAGGATGTAAAAAATAAAGTTTTATTCCTTGGAATGGACCAATGTGTTTTGGGTGTGTTTTTTTTCTGGGCCTCCTTCAGGCTTCAGAATGTTTAAATATAGCCTGCAGGGATTTCTGAAAAAATAGATTTCCAACAATACATTCTGCGATGCTGAGCCATGCTGGGAATTGTAGCCAGACACTTTGGCTGGGTAAGACTGCACTGTTCCATCCTGTCAGCTTCTTGACCGTTGGCTCCCCCGCCCCCAGACTTGAACACAAACATTTCGGCTATGGGTGAATGTCAGAGTACACGCTTCACACAGCATCCATCCCCGGCCTCTCTGGTTAAAAAGACATAGGAGCTAGGGAAGGAGTTTTTCTCTGCCTAGACCCTGGAGAACACCTCCAGGCAGTTCTGTCCTGGAAGGACCAGCCTGGCCTTTGAGGGAGAATCAGCATGATCTCCACTTGCAGCTCTTCTGCCTTGCTTTCACTTGGAGCCATGCTGATTTTTCAGGCCGTAATCAAGGCTGCTATAAAAAGTTTTGCTGTGCAGCCACGCAGCAAGATTGCCCAGCATTATTTGCAGGGAATAGCCATCCGCATTTTTAAGCCCAAGGATTGTGTTGTTCCATGGTGCACAAGCTTCTTGTGCACAGGATAGTTGGAGGGCCTCTCAGAAAATTATCATCTTAGGGCATAATTTTCTCTCCATCTGGGGAATGCAAAGAAGCCTCTCCCTTTGAATTGAATGCCAGTGTGAAGTCACAGATCAGCTGGCAGGGAGGGATGAGAGCGAAAGCACACAACGGCACATGCTCCCCCTGAGGCCTGAATCAGATTCATCACCCCAGTGACTTGCCTCGTTTTTATGGGCTCTGGGCCTGAGCTTCTAAGCTGGTTTAGGCCGGCTGCAGCCCCTCAGTAGTCTGGTGTGCTGATGCACTGGTTCTAGGATAGCTTTTGGGCACCACCTCCCCCAAACCTCAGTCCAAAGGTGTGGAATGCTCTGCAAAAGGCCGTCTCATGAGAATGCCATGAATTGGCTATGAGCAGTGATAGCAGAAGCAGAAGGGAGAAACGAGCATTCTCCTGGCCCCTCGGTCAGGCCAAGGCTTCTGTTCGGGAGCTGAGCTGAGGTTTCAAGCTCTGTGCAGAGCAAATGTGCGAGTGGCTTTCATGTATTGCGTGTTTGTTTTGCAGTAAACATTACCCTCTATATTCTCTCAATGTGGCTTCCATGTGGCTGAAACTGGGGAGACTTTACATGGGCCTTGAAAACAGATCAGCAGGTGTTAAGGCTCTCAAAAAGGTATGCATCTTTCTTTGTAGAATAACTCTGCTACTTTGAGTTGAGTTTCTTATGATATGTATAGAAATGCTTTGCTTGGGAAAATAGATTGTAATATAGAATGTGTATGTTTTGAATGGCCTTTGTGTTACTTTAGTGTAACTGTTTTCCTCCCATACAAAAATGATCATTTAAAGCTCCAAAACCCGGACATGGCACCTCTCTTTGCTGGTTTGTATCTCCCTCGATTAAGGTGCAAACAAGCAGCAGTCAAACTTGATTTGTACATATGGTTTTCCCAACAGGATCTCTCACTGAAAAGTCGCTCTCAGTTTCTGTGGTTTTGTGTACAATCAAGAGCTGTTCGGAAACTGAATGTTCTTGGCTCTGGTGGAAGCTGGCATATGGCACAAAGCAGATTGCATTTCAGTAGCTAGCTTGAATGTTAGTGCATATGGTAGTCAAAATATTTTTTTCCTGTGGCTGGAAAACCCTGCCTGTTGGTCTAGGGGTCCAGGCAGTAGACTTGCAGGCTTTGGGGGATTTGGGTTTTGCCTCTTCCTTCTCATCTGGCATTTGAGGCATCTTAGAAGCAGCAGCTGCTCTAGATATACCCTCTTGGTACCAGTAAATCTGGGCACACTAATGACAGGACATGCAGATTGGGACCAGGATTGCTATCTGGAAACTGATTCAAAGATGCAGTAGAAAACTGGGTTTCTGAAATGGCATAGCTGAGAGTCACAAGTACATTTCAGGACTTTTCCACTGGGTTTAACAGGATGGGGTAGTTAAAACAAGCTTCTGATGCACGTGGGATCGAGGCTGCTGCAGCCCCAGTTCATGGAGATAGTTGTGGTTGCATCCTGTTGCTTACTGGCTCAGGCCATTCATTCATTTTGCATTCTGAATAGTTCTCTGTGGCTGATCCATAACAGGCTATGCTTTGTCCTCTTACCCAAGATGGTCAAGTGTAGGGCCTTGTCCAAGAGGGTTTTTTAAATGCTTACAGTATACTGTTTCCATTTAAATAGCGCATGGAAGTTTCTGGTCATTCAAGTTGTGGTCAAAGCAGCACCCGAGTCCCATTGATCACCCAGGCACCATCTTGTTGCATTGCTTTGGAATACAAACAGGCCCAGATGTGGGCTGGAGGTGCTCAGTGTGAAAGTCGTCTTCTGTTAAGTTTGGAACAGAAAGGCAGATACAATGTCGTTTAACTTTTTGCTTGTCTGTGCCTTTCAAAAGAGCTTGGAGATCGCTTCGGATCAAAGGTGCTGTGTATATAATATGGTTTGATGCTTACAATCAAATGGGGTGTTTTCAATTGGGCACATTTAAGGGGACAAAAACCAGTCAGAGGTTTCTGACTTTTCAGAATCCCTGACGAGAACATTTCATAAACCAAGGCTGTCTGAATCAATTGTATTTTTTCCCCTTTTGCAGGCAATCGCTATCATGGAGATAGCACATGGGAAAGATCATCCATACGTTATAGAGATCAAAAAGGAATTAGAGGCCCACTGAGTCTTTGAATCTATGCAATCCTTCAACCTTTCTTTAAAAGCCTTGCTATGGAAACTTCAGGAGTGCTTTGAAAATTGAAGTGGGATGAAAGCTTTTCTGTAGAATAATTGGAATGACAAACATGAGGCGCACTTGGGCCTTGCCTCTTGCATTTTCTGAGGTTTATGTTGAAATATCTTGAGCCTTTATGAATTAATTTTTGAATGCTTTTTCCCCCTAAGGAAATGCCACAGTTTCATACATTTAATGCCTTTGATCGATCATCTGCAGAGATGACCAGTTCTTTTCTTCACAGATTATAATGTATTATGTATTTTAGCCATGCAAAACAATTAATTAAATTGGAAAAACATTGCTTGAATTTGTTTGCTTGTTTGCCTCCTCTATCATTGTGATATGGCTTTTGGCTTCCAAAAAGGATTGTAGGCCTTTTTTTCTTCGTATCGCAAGAGTTCTCTGCTTGCCATATTTCTATAGGTGGGTTATGAACTTTGCTCTTGCATACAATTGGTAGGATCCAGATTTAATTAGCCTTTAATTAGGCCCATCGTCTCGACAAATATTCAAGGAACTGTCCTATCCAGCTGACAAGGACAATGAAACCATGCTTCTTCAGATGTCTCATGTTGGCATATTGGGGCAAACAAGTATTGGATGATAAGCATTTAGATGCATTTTAAATTGTACATGTTTGTGATGTTACCTCCATTCAGCCGCTCCATCTGAATGTGTACAGATTGGGTTATCTGTGCACTATGAAAATCAGTCAACTTCCAATGTAGAAGTTAAATCTTTAAATCAGAGCTTTTTGCTTCAGTAGCTGAATTCAGTGAGTGAGCACACAGAAAATGTGTAATGTGTCTCCCTTAATATAAAATCTCTCACACTTTAAGACTTCAAACTGTATAAGGAAGAATGGGTGGAACTTAATACTTAACAAGTTCATACTAAGTCCAAGAGCCAGTGTGCAACAGGAAATGAACTAAAGTCAGTGAAACCATTTCCAAAGTAGACAGGCAATTTCTTGATATCCGATGCTTTTACATGGCAGTTTTAGACAAGTATGTTTTACTGGGTTTAGGTTCAAGACAGTAATTGAAGGAAAACATTTCTTGAATTGATGGCCGATTGTGGAAGGATTGTGTTAAATTGTGGTTAAAAGTACATGTCTAAAAGAGAAGGTAACTGGAGTTGCCTGGCTGAGTAGCTCTACCTAAGTCACACATTCAGCTCTACCTAAGTTACACATGAGCATGCTGCTGGGATACACACACACACTGGGAGGGATTGGTTTATTTTCAATTCCTGTGTCACCTACTGAACCAATCACAACTTTCCTCTATATGTAAAATGGAAAAGAAGAGTCCTTAGCTTCAAGAGTTGATGTAGGCATCACACAAAGATGGTTAGTCGCTTGCTATTATTAAGGAAGAGGCCATATTTGCAACTTCTGGGAGTTTTCCTCTTGGAGGGCTTGCCTCTCCACACAGAAAGGTATTGGGCAAATTTCACTGCATGGATTTTTCATCTGGCTCATATTCTTGCTATTACACAGAGTAATCGGGATAATATTGGATAATCTAGCAGCAATATTGGTGCTGCATGAGACTATCTCACTGCTGGCCATTTGGGTTAGATGGTAAGTTCTTTGAAAACAATCACTTGAGTTTATGCAATTGCCCTGTAAGTGTGCCCACTTCTAACATTGTCCTCCATAAACAGCTCCATTGTTTTGCAGTCTGGAAAATAGCATATACGGGAAGTTCATCAAACAAATGAACAGGCACCAATATATGGTTATCTGCTTGGATCAACACTTTTACAGGCCTGCCTATTAACTACAGGTGCTCAACACTGATTAATACAAGTCCTTCCATGGTCTTCAACATGATACAGCAAACACTGAGGGGGAAAAAAACCTTTTTATTGCATAAAAGGAAGGCTAAGCATAGACTTGTACAAAACAAAGATTGTGTCAAAACTTTCTTACATTGCAAAAGGAAGGTATTTACACAAAGGCAGTGTAAGGTGTAAAAAAATTACTGCAAATATTAATGCCAAAGAAAACTTATAAAAACAGAAGGAAAAAAGAAAAAGTGCAAAAATACTGTCAAATATCAATCAGTTCTATACAAAACAACCGACAAGCATAAGCTTATGTACTGATATGAATATACATTAGCGTACAAAGTAGCATGCATAGATTTTGTAAAGGCTTTCAACAGTACAAAAATGGCAGTCATACTGAATTAATGTTGCTAATAATAGCTGTCCTCAATACTGGAGTAAAACCAGAATGAGAACAATCCAGTGATGCAGAATTTATTTACAGTGCAATCCTATACAGATCTACTTAAAAGTAAGTCAAACTGAGTTCAATGGATATTGCTCCCATGTAAGTGTGCCCAGGATTGCAATCTTGAGGTACAATACTATGTACGTATAGATAGAAGAAATGCCTACAACCCCCAGCAAGTCCCACCTATACTGGCTGGACATGTTAGCAGTTATAAGCCTTTTTCTGTCTAAACTTGCACAGGATTGCACCATTCACGTGTTAGTTTCTGTAACACAAGTCAGATATAATTATACAGATGCAACTTAAGATCCTCTGCATATTGCCATCTTTTGGTAACACACCATATTAAGATATTCGAGTTTATACAAAGAGAGAATGTTCCCATCTGAAGTGATCTCAGCAAACTTAGAACTGTTGTCATGCAGAATCTTCTAGTGTCAGAATGGCTTTTAAAAACCATATAACAGCGCTCAAACATAAGGCTTTTAGGAACAATGGCAGTGACACATTGAATTCTGGGCACTACTTTGAAACGAAACCCCAAACCAAATGCCCATCATGGCATTCAAGGCGTGACACGGTTAGTATGACCAGTATGAAACTCAGATTATGAAAGTGGTTTAAAGGGGCTAGATAAACCTGGGCAGCGGACAGACAAAACAACAGCAGAAAGCAGCTTCTGAAACCGAGTAGTGACACAGCCCAAGTCTTATGACTGGATTGCCAGTCCAGGGCTTACAATTCCACTGAAATCAATTTCTCAGGATTCTTTCACTAAACAAAAATAATCTGAGGTTATTATACCCATGTTCCTGCTACTGATGACTGCCTCAGAGTATAACGAATCAGCCCAATTCAGAAAAATGCCATGTATTTTTGGAAAACTGGTAGTAAATCAGCTTGCCAGTTCAGTTGCATTGACCAGGGACCATGTTCTGCCCTACAAATTGAAACATTTTGTTACACCACAACACTGTTCGTTATACAAATGAATGGAATAATTGGATTAAAGTCTGCCATACATAGACTCTAATCCTAAAATTGACCACAAGGCCATGGAAATTCAGCTTCCTTTCAGGGAAGCAACAGATTAAATGGATTATCCATACTGTGGAAACCTCTATCCAAACTAATTATGGCCACTAATAGGTGTTCAACAATTAAAACACCACAACCAGTACCTAAGACGATATAAGAACTGATGAATGCCAGATCACAAGATCAACAAATTTTCCAATGAAGATAATTATGGCACACTTTTGAGACATGATTACCTTCGTATTTCATATATGTAAATGGAAGTCATCAGTATCTGCCTAAGTAAACCTAGCATTCCTTTTCTGTACCTGTTGAGATGCTTGTGGCACCCCATCATGCTCAAGTGAGCATTAGTAACATCCATCCAAATCACGTTTTAAATCCCTCACGAAGTAAGTAACTGTAATGCCTTATGGATCACACAGAGACTTGTAGACATGCAAAGAGCTTCCGGACACCAACACGTTGTTCTTTGCCCTTTTCTAAAATGTGGGCTTTCTCCCCAAGTGAAGCAGCAATCTCACACCCAATGGAGTTTACTTCTGAGGGCATAGGCACAGGGATATACCTACTATGGAAATATTGTATACATTTAATGGTATTTTAGCTATCTTAGCAGCACCAACATGATTTCAGAGAGAAAAGAATGCCAAACTATCCAACCAACATAGTAAGTTGTATTTCAATAAAGATCTCTTCAGTCATGTACTGGATGAGAGGTGGTGGGGAGGCAGGCTGTAACTATTAGTATTGATTTCCGACCTTACTGAAGTACTGAATTGGTTCTGCCTGTCACTGTGCATGAATTGGGTGTCCACAGAATCAATGTGCTTCTGGTTTGGATATTTTAGCTGGGAAATTGACTCTAACTGTATTGTGTAACTGAGTGCTATTATGTGGAACACAGAAAAAGCCAATACAATATCACTTAAAAACTATTTAGCTGAGAGCTATCAGAATGAAATGACTTCCTTACGATGTTTAAAGTTTAAGTATCCTGGTACAGCAATGCAGCTTAGAAGGGTGAGAACAGTTATATTTCCCAGCAAAATTGCACTAATGATAATTCTTGAACAGATAAATATATATTGAAATGTTACAACTCTGCAAAGTTTCAAAGCTTTTAGAGTTTCAAAACCAGCATCATATGCTTTGTGCAGCCGGTTCCAGGCACTGTCCTGTGATATGGATTAGCTGTTGGTCCTCAGAACTCCTGAAAGGGAGCCTTATATTACGTGAGTTACAGTAAGCTAGTCTGGATATCACTAAGGTAAAAAACAGACAACCTTGTGTCCTCCAGATGTTTTTGACTACAACTCCCATAATCCTTGACCATTGGCCAAGCTAGCTGGGGGCTTTTGGGAGTGGTCCAAAACATTTGGAAAGCACGGGCTGTGAAACTGTGCGCTAAGGCATACCTCATGGTTGGATGAAAGCCACCTGGAAAAGGGCACCAACCATCTGCAACTGTCTTTTATATGATTGTTAGAAGCACAAGCACAAGACTCTTCTAACAATCAACTGAATCCACCCACAATGCTGATCTGGGCATCTGAAAGAATCACAGAGGAAGATTACGAGGTTTGGAGGCACACTGGCAAGATCAGTCTTCCAATGGTGCCATTTTTCTAAAATACGCATTGGCTTCAAGACTTGGATTTAACATAAACATTACTTTGTATACAGAAACTCTGTTAACAGTTTATATTAAGCCTCAAGTAAGCTAAAACCTGGAACACAAGAGGAACATGATGTTATTAAACTAGCACAACATCCCAGGGTTTCTTCTTGGCTTTCTGAAGAGCAGCCCAATTCACTACAGCAAAAATGAGGAATGTGTGGCTTCCCCAACTGTTGGACTACACTCCCATCATCCCTCACCACTGCCTAGATGGTCAACATCTACAGGCTCCATGATTCTCATCGCTGAGAGCCTAGTCAGTTGCTCAGGAAGCGTTTCTTTTATATCACAATTCCTGGCTCGGATGTAATAGCAAGCCAGGAATCTTCAAAAGCTGGCATCCTTTCTGTTTGTGCATGGAGTTGGAGTGGAAGTGCTAAGCCACAGTTAAACACTACATGTGAATGCTCCCAAGGGGGATTATCTCAAAGTAAATGGATACAGGATGTCCTACACTTTGATTTACTTCAGAAGAAATGAAATTTGATCAGAAACTCATTTTCTCATCCCTGAATGGGTGCTTGAAAATAATTCTGGGTTCAAGAAGAATCCCATTAAAATCATAATCTTGAAGTGTGGCCTTTACTAAATCATATTAAATTAACTTCCATCTCTGCAAGTACATGCAGCCACTGCAACGCTGAAACGACCACCATGAGGAACAGCCAGGATAAATTCTTGATAATATGTAAGGATCTCTTGTTTTGAGTATGCTGTTAACTGAGCTTATCAAGGTCAAATCTGATGTGAGAATCACACCAAACATTTTAACAATGATGTTTAAAAATCACTTTGAACACCATCATCCATTTTAGGAATGGCATAAAAATGGCTGCTTATTACATGAATAACTATTTGGCTTGCTACGGAGCATTGTTCTTTCGACGCAGAAGGCGCTCCTTTGCCATTTGGTGCTCAAGATGTGTTACACTGTGACAAAAAGCATTGGCAGCTCCTCACAGAGGAGCTCCTCCCCCTTTCCTATCCATTATTCCTGCTTATTAAGTAAGTTCTTTCTGGTTTGCACGCTTCCAGGAAAGCCAAGAATATACCCACTACTATCCAGATCTTCTAGCCATCAGACCTTGGAGGGGCTATTTTCCTCCATCTTATTTCCTACCTGTCAGGCCAAATGGAGCAATGGGATTTGACAGCTCTGGGTTCAAACTTAATTCATCATTAGGAAATTATTCAAAAAGCTATAATGAGATAACTAATTTAATACACTTTGCTTCAAGGTTTATTCCTTGGCTGGCTTCCCAGATACAAAGCGTCTCTGTGCAATTATCACGCAGATGCCACTAAAAGACTTTAAATGGTTGCAGCTAATTTAACAAGAGATATGTTGGCATTGACAAGGAGACACTGGACTGAAAATTGGAGTTAACTAAAAACGCTAAAGCATCTCTAAAGGAGCATCAGCAAGAGACTGTACCTTCATTTTCTTCCCCTAATCATCTGGGATGGCTTGAACTCTTCCTGTTCTACTTCTGAGATGACCCCTGTTCTGAACATGCTCACATTGTCTAGTAGTGCAGAAAGTGTGCTTGTTGCTTCAGAAATAATGTGTTCAATTTGCAGAGATGGGGAGCAAATCCTCCTTCAGCCCAACAGCAGACTTCCATTTGGAGAAGCTCTTGGGTAAGCAGCATTCCAGTGGAGGGTGCGACAAACAGCAAAACTGGCAATACCACAATGCCGGAACATTCTAGATTAAAGCTCTGACTGTCAATAACTAAGCCTTAGGAGAGGGGAATTCATTCTTGGGGAATGAATGGAGAATAACACACAAAAGCCAGGAAACCATCCAATGACCTGTGCTAAAATGAAAGGGGGCGTGTTCTTCTGGAGAACCTCAGAGGACCAGAATGGGACTCCAGCCAGGCTGGACCGGGTTCCCCAGAAAAGAGATTTTGCAACCCTGCCACAGAAAAACCAGCTCACCAACTAATATGCACACATTGGATGATTAAAAAGTGGGATCTATCCTTTTTATTATAACCTTTGCTATCTTGAAAATGGCCCAGCTCTACCTCAGCTGTATCTCTTCCTCATCACTAGCAGGTAAAGCTCTGTGGCCTGAAACTCTAAGTACTGCTGGAGGCAGTGGAAGTCAGTGACCATCAGATGTGGAGGGGCCAGTCATAACTCTGTGCAAGAGCACAATCTTCTCAGTCAGCAGGTTTTCCCATTAAAAAGATCTCATGTGCCACGTGACCTCGGAGCTGCCGGAGTGGATGCACCAAGGGGGTGATGCCACATACTACAGCTTATCTGCATCTGATAAAAAAAGTATCTGTCAACTGTAAAAACTGATTGTTGAGAACAGAGCACAGCGTGTAAATAAACACTTAGGGTACAGTCCGCTAGGCAAGCAACTTCTCAGAAGTGGGATCTGCCAGCTCCACTCTTTTTAATGGGAGCACACAGGAACTTGGCAATGGCTGGTTCTCTGTACAATGCCCAGTCCCAAAAAGGGCTTCACTTAAAAGACTCCTTCAGTCCAGCCATTTTACACTAGACACCGTGGACTCACTGAGATCATTTCTGAAGTCAGGTGGGCTCATTTCCTGAGTCAAGATTCAGCACCATTTGCATGCCAAAGGGCTGGTAAGAGCCTTCTCGGAAGCTGCAGGCCAGGCCTGTTCTGTGTTCTGCCTACGCAGCAGTGTTGCTTCTAGCCATCCCTGGTGAGTTACGATCACTCATGGCCAATTCTGAACACCTGGACATCGGAGTCTGCAGGAAGTCCTGCTGCTTCTCTGCAAAGCAGGCAGACACAGGGCACCAGCTTGTTCCCTCTCAATATTATTATGGAAATATATGTGTTTTCAGATTTGGACAAAAGCCACTTTTCCCTCTCCTGGTAGGGCTGTCTTTTCTATGTGCACAGCCTTGAAAAACAGGTTGCAAAATATTCTTACCACAAATAAAAATAGTTAAAGTGTCTCGCACGTCAAATAACAAATGCAAATATCAAGAGAACACTTGTCAGATAGGAACGTTTCCCCTTGTAGTGAATATCAGGCTTGTCAAATGCAGTTCAATTATTACAAATCCGTCATGCGTTTCACGAATTAAGAAAATTCACAAATCATTTCAAGGAAAAATAATAATAAATTATCTTGCATAAAATATTCAGTATGAAGGACAAAGTCCCCTTATCTCCAAAATTGGGACAATTCTGACCAATACTACAAAACCAGATACATGTTGAAGGAGTGTTTTTCAGCACTTTCCAACAGAGTGTGTGTGTGAGAGAGAGAGAGGGAGGGAGGGAGGAGTAGGAAGAAACCAACAGGTCCCTCTTGAGGAGGTTAAATGAGTCTGGAGTTTTGCAGGAACAGGATAAGGACTTGGTAGACAAACTTGTACTGAGCAATGGTTTGGACCATGAACATTCTCTGCTCCCTCAGACGTTGCAGCATCACTGGAACATCCACTTTCTGTAAAATGGAAGGGGAGAATCATGAAAGAGTTGGTGAGTGTGGCAGCAGAATGAATGAACTGCAACCTAGGAAAGGAACAGCAACAGCACTTCTTTACAGATCCAGGTTCTACCCAGTATTGCTCTCGAGATGCCAACAGCTCACCTATGCAGCTTGTCTGTCTGTGGAAGCCACACAAGCTTGCTTGTCATGACGTGTGAACCAGCTGCTACGTTAAAGATATGGCTGCTTTTTTATGCACGTGTAAATCCAGATTAGGACCCAAGGAGGGGTGGCAGAGGGGCTTTAACCCTTCCCATCCAGGGTATACGCTCAGGTTCCAACTCTGGATTGCTGGTGAAGACAAGCCAGACTTTAGGTTTGGAAATCACGCTAAAACAACCCTGGGATGAAATATTCTGCACTACTGAATAGCTTCTGCTTGCAGGTGAAATCAGGCAGGAGCGGCTGAGCTACGTGAACTAGAGTGCTGCTGTGCTCATGATAAGCTGGTTTTTTTTACAAAAACTAAGAACTAACATAGTATCACTGCTGCATGTGAACCAGATCCATGTCTGCTGTGGCCCTTCTAAGACCAGATGGAAAGCCAGGGTGGGTCAGACGTCTTAAGGGCCTTTCTAGTTCAGCAGTCAGTTCCCACAGTGGTCAACCAGAACCTTGTGGGAATTCAACCAGTGGAGCACGGATACCATGCCGGCCTCTTGCCTGTGTTTCGAACAGCCAGTGAGAGGAGGTGCGCTGCCGCTGATACGAGAGGTAATATACAGCCCCTGTGACTAGTAGCCATTCATAAATTTGTCTGATCTCTTTTTGAAGCTGTCCAAATTGGGGCCCATTACTACGCAGTAGCTATCAAAATCAGGATGTGAATGAGGTCAGATGAAACAGAGAGGCTTTTTAATATGAAGAAAAATTAAGGCAAACTGCATATGTAGTAACCGTGAAAAGCAGTTATTATCGTCTTTATGTGAGAAAAGGAGAGCAGTAACAGTATAATGACTTGCTAGAAAAGAGGCTGGGAAATCAAAGCACATCTGTCACACAGTAACAGCCAACTCCTTCTTCCAGGCTACAAACCAGTCACCTGTCAGGGTGGAGAAGGGCTTTCTCCCATCACAGGCTCTACAGTCTCCACTTCCTCACCCAGTTGCTCCGGGATCCGTAAAGCCAAGCTTTCCCCATCTTTACTCGCTCTAGTGCAATGCACACTGCAGTTCTCCAAACCATTAGTGTGGTCTTCACTGCATTTTTTTACCTCCCTAAATTTAGCTTTCACCTTCACTTGGAAACTCGGCAGGCTTATGGCCTTAGAAGCAACTCTCTATCCCATATTCTGTAAGGAGCAATTAGTGTTTCCACTCTAAATTTAGCTTGGAATTCCATCTAAAATAAGCATTACTTGTTTCTTTCACTAAATGTCTACAGGCCAGACACCTGAAATTTTATTTCTATGCAAACCCACTGCAGTTTCTCTTGGATCCAAGGATCAGCCTCCTACACTTGTGAAATATCTTTACCCAATTTTGGGGGGATCTCTCCTTTCCCCTAACCCCAACATCCCACCATCCAGCAGGATCTTTCCACATTCTGTACAGTCCTTTCAGAGTGCTGGAGGGACAGGAAATTCCATTTCCACGAGCACAGTTGATCCAGTGTAAAACAGGATCCAACCCAGAGTGGCTGCCTGCCATTAATCTAACAATCACAGTGCTTGTTCAGAAGCTACATTCTGGAGATAGCTCTCCATTCAGTCTCTTGTGCATTGCTGTCTCACCGAGGGTGTAGGGGAAGAGAGAGAATGAAAAAAATAAACTGGCCTGTATTGATTTTTCATGTTTGCAGAACATCTCTCACTACCCAGTCTGTCCCGGGTAAGAACTAAGTGGCCAAAACTAAAACACTGCATGAAAAGCAAAGAAGAAGAGCCCTGTGGGAGCAGGCCAAAGGCCTACCCAGCTTCTCTTTCACCTGATTACTGTGTTATGTTCTGATTTTTTGTACACCATCTTGGTGGGTTCCAGAAAGCCAGTACAGAAATGCCTTAAATAAATAGGTAGTCCAGATTCCTGTATGCGCGGTGGCCACCCAAGTGCCTATGGGAAGCCCACAAGGAAGCTGTGGGTGCCACGCCACCTTCCTGCTTATGTTCCTCAGCCACTGGAGATCAAAGGCGTGCTGCCTCTGATACTGGAGGTGACCCCTAGGCCACCATGACTTGTAGCCACTGAGGGTCTGCTCTTCCGTAGTCCAACCGCCTGTCTAAGTTGGCAGCCATCACGACCCATCCCGGTTACAAATTCCAAAGTCAGGCAGCAGCTTTCCAAGGTCTTGGAGGTCCTTCCCCATGACCTGGAGAGTTCAGAGACAGCACCTTGGTGCCTGGAAAGTATGTGCACTAGTGCTGAGCTACAGCCCCTCCATAAAGGCAGAGCAGTAATTGTCTCCCCGAAGGCGGGGAGAGTGGCATGCAAGCACTTGCCACAAGAACTGGATTGTGAGCTCTACCCGGAAGGCTAAACCCAAGAGGGCCACAGTGTGCGCTCGCCACACCAGATGCCCAAATGGAGCAACTCATCTGAGGCACCGAGTTGTCCTGTGAGCACACAGGAGTGTCAGGGCTTACTCTCTTCTAAACTTTGCTACACGGCTACACTCTACAGAAGAACACCGCTGCTCATGACCTAATTAAGCTGCAGAGCCAGTTAGAACAGTCTTGTTTGAGCGAGAGAAAAAAATGCAGGCTAGTTTGGATTCGCCCTGTTCAATCAAACCCAAATCTTAATAGCTGAGCATCTGCTATATTTTTTTTCTTTTCTTTTTCCCACTCAGTGCAAAAGCATTTTTTGCACGTTCCAAGCTTTTACACAGTTTAGATGACAGTTTGGACAGATATATTGCAACAGTATGCTTATCACAACCATCTAAGTGCAAGGTTTTGTCTGTGTTAGCACTGCAAAAATCAGCTTTACATCTTTGATGTTAGGGAAACAATTCAGGACTGTGATTCCTATTCATTTGTGGCCCTCTTTTATACCAAGAAAAATGGCACTCAAGATGGTTTACCATCAGACATAAAACATGGTGAAAACTGTAAGAAAACAAGTGCATTAAAAAATGTTTAAAATGTAACAATGGAACTTGCTTACAAATATTCTCAGAATTAGACCGTCTAAATCTGTCTGAAAGGAACTAATAATAAAATTAAAAAGCATAACTTGAAAGGGGGGTGTGCTAATTCCCAACTGTTTCAAATGCGAATTAGTGGATTACATCTGTGTTGCTTGTCTGAAGATTCGTGGCACGGGTGCAAGAGGTCACAGCTTTCAGAAAACCACAGTTCTTAACAGTGAGATCCCATCTGCAAGAATAAGTCCTATTATGCTAAATGAGACTTACTCCTAGGAAGTCCCACTGGCTGGAGAATGAAAGAAGCTGTAGGACTTTTTCCTTTCAAGACCTAAAGAATCGCCACTTCAGAATTTCAATTTCATTTCTTTTTAATGGAGAAAGTTATTTTTTCCCTTCTACCGTAACACTCAAAACCAGGATCATCTCATGAAGCTGATTGGTGGGAGGTTTAGGATGGATAAAAGGAAGTACTTCTTCATACTGTGCACAGTAACATTATGGCATTTGCTGCCATGGGAAGTGGTGATGGCCACCCACTTGGATGGCTTTAAAAGGGGACTGGACGGATGGACGAGGAGGCTCTCCTTGGCTGCTAGTCTTGCTGGCAACGTGCTGCCCCTTTCACCAGAGGTCGCATGCCTGCGTACACCAGATAGTGAGCAGCTTGGGCAGGCCGAGGTCTTGCCCCCCTCCTGCTTGAGGGATCCTGCGGGCAGCTGGTTTGCCGCCATGTGTATGGAGTGCAGGACTAGATGGACCCTTGGACTGATCCAGCATGGCTCACGTTCTTATGGAATTTCACATCTGCAAGAATGTCGAATAGATGCTTGCAAATGCTACCAGATTCTCACTGTTAAGGAAGTGTTATGAACTACCCTCAAAAATTGGCTCCATTATTCAAACATTACAATTAGGTTATTAAAAAAATTCAACAGCTGTTGAATGATAAATGGTTTCAGATATATGTGGAAGATTGAAGAAAGATAAAATTAAACTGGGCAACAGACATAGCATATAGCTAACCTTTCCAGAAAACAAGTAATAGCTATTAGATTTTTAATCTTGCAATAAAAAGTTTTGTCTAAATGTTTTGCAGTGCTATATTGCTAGGTCTCATTGAGAGAGGATATAATAATATTTTGCATTCACGTCTGTACAAAAAAGACAGCAAATCTGTTACTAAAAGTGAGTCTGAAACATCTGGAGTGCACCAGGTTGGGGGAGCTTGCTACACATGATAACATACATTACACTGCGACAAGGAAGACATTTGATGCATAAAAGTAAAAAGAAGCTCGTCTGGGGCTAATGAACATTCAAAATCTGAAGATGGACTTCTGAGGAGCTGACCTGGGGCTCCTGTTCTCCAGCACTTTGTGTTAACTCCCCCTCTTCCCTCCTCTTCCTTCTGTTTCCCAATCTCCCTCTGGTCTCCTTCCTTGATTCCTTTCCACCCAGAAACCACTAAAAACAGGAATTTTAAAATAAAATTCTGCTAGTTTCACATAGGAAAGAAAAGGTGGGTTCCCCTGGAACATGAAAACAATTCCCACAGGAATAATAGATCCCAATATAGTAGATCTAGACTACTAAATTCCATTGAAAATGACTCAAAGTTTCTTGGCAGAACTTGTGCAAATATCCATGAAAGGTCTGTCTGCACCAGAAAGCAGGAAGGGGCTAGAATGCTTCCCTACCTGCCTAAGATAAACCAGACACCCCCACCACTGAACGGAGTAACAGCAAGCCATGACATATCCCCCAACAGCTGGGTGCTTTCTGCATTTTATTTTTTTTTATTTTAGCCATCAGTACATTTCTATAAAGCCTTTTTTCCTCCAAGGGACCAAAGAAGGCTTAACTGGACCTTTCCTGCTTCATTTTGTCCTCATAACAACCCTCTTCAGCAAGTTAGGCTTTCCTGAGAGACAGTGACTTGTGCAAGTGAATTTTATGGCTGAATGGGGAAGAGAACCCTGATCTCACAAGTCCCAGTCTGGTGCTCTAACCACTACACCGCACCTCACATTCAGCTCCACATGGAGAAATCTTATCATCTTTTCAGTGCCAGGTCATCTTCTGCCCCAGGCATTTTGTGGCACAGGTTTTAATGTCAGTTGTCTCATTGGATCTTTCATGGTATCTTATTATAACTGTTTTTTTTAACCAGTTTTAAAACGTTTAAAAAATTTCAGAAGTTGTTTTTGTTTGTTTTGTACTTTTTGAGAATTGACCCAGAAAACTTTGGCTCTTGGGCAGTATAGACGATACACAAAAAACCGAAACAAAACCGAAACTGAAAACAAAAACAAGAATATACGCCCTTTCTGCTGCTTTGTAGAGAACTTGTTTTTAGTCAATAGTGTTGTCAGGCCAGATTCTGACACAGAACAAGTAGGAAGGCCTTAAAATGCAGCAGGAGTAGTTAACAACATTTTAAAGTATTTCCATTTTCAATGGCTGTAATAACATCAAGGTCCAGGATCAAAAATGGCGTAACTGCCCCCACATGAGCAACTCCCCTTCCTCACATTCTGATGTGGGAACAAGATTTTTCTGAATGTGTAGGCCATCCTCAGGTGGGCATACTTTGATATGATTTTGTTCTGTGCTGTGCATGAGTAAAAATGCTGGCAACTCACATTCTCCCATGCGAAATTCAGAAAAGCTGGATGCTGCAAGTTCTGCTCAATCAGATTTGGACATTTGTAGGGATTAGGCAGTATCCCTCTCAGGCAGTCTAACCATGTGGGAGATGCTGCCCTGGCTGTGAGAGCCGGTGCGGCACAGTGGCCAGGAGGGCAGGCCTAGGACTCCGGCGACTTGCGTTCTAGTCCCCCCTCAGCCACGGAGCTCACTGGGTGACTGTGGGCCAGTCACAGAATCTCAGCCCAACTGCCTCCCAGTGTTGTTGTTGTGAGGACAAGCTTGAGAGAAGGAGGAGAATTGTGTAAGCCATTTTGAGTTCCTTGGAGGGAAAAAAGACAAGACAAGACATGGCAACAGACTTCCTACTGCCCCCTTTTCCTTTCCCCTTCTGCTGCTACAGAGCTATTTAGCCCTCGAAGGCTTGCAATGAGGCTTTTCCTCAGCGAGAGGGACTGGTGGGGAGGTGGCGCTGGAGACGCCTTCAGCCTCAGCAGCAGAGGTGCTCTCCAAGCATCTCTCTCAGAATGCCTCCCTCTGGGAAAGGATCCCTCAGAGTGAGAAATCTGGGCTGACCAGCCTCTCTGGTGGGCTGATACGGTCATCTAAGAGGCGCTGATCCCCCCTGCCCTACTGTTGTACCAGCATGCAGGAATTTCTTTGCCTTCCAGCACTCCTGAGAAGGACTAAAAAGCCTGACTTGCTCTCTTGCACAAGACCATGTCTGGTTTCTCAGGCTTCATCAGCCCTTTCCCCAGTGAAAGCCAAGAAGAGTCTCCCCTGGCACTGGTTTTCCTTCCAAGCTCTTGTTGCAGCTGCAGTGTGGAGAAAGTGACAAACAGCAGGACTTTTCTCCCACTGTTTCTTCTCTTAGCCAAAAGTCAGGGCAAATGGCTGAAATCTTTGCTTCTCTCTTCTGCATGTGCTAAAGGGGGTCAGGAGAGAAGCAGTTTTCTTGTGCTCAGGCTGCGCACCCGTCAGATCTCTCTCAGATGCACTCATCGTTCTTACACACTCTCTCCTGTGGACTTGCACTTCCTTACCTTTGCTAGACCATCATGCCAGGAAGAAAATCCCTGGCACTCTCTCCTCCCAACTTCTGTGCATGGCAGAAGGTGCTGAGGGAGGGGAAGAGGCTGGGGGGAAATATAGGCTAGCTAGAAAGCTCCATGGACTGGGATACTCTACTGCGGATCCAAACACTGCTGCTGTCAGCCATGGGATTTCAGAGGAGAGCCTAACCGCTAGATTAGAAATGATCATTGCTTGAGTGCATCTGTTTAGGCCAGAATGCAAACAAGCGCTTTCTGTCCCCTTACAGATGCTCACTAGCACAGGATTGCTGAGTTTATTGTATCAGTTAGCCCTGTTGCGAAGGATCATGGAGCTTATCTTAAGCTTTGCAAAGGGTACTACTGGCCCTGCACTGTCCCTTGACCCCATGCTTTCTCTTAGTCTTTGAGGAACCAAGACTCTTTCCCGATTATGCTGCAGCGTAACAGCACAGCAGAACCTCTGGAATTCGTGGACCGGGATCTACTTCGGGCTGACTTTTGCAGTGGTGCTTGGGGGACCGAACGGTCATTGGCAAGGAAATCGTTTCTTTGGGGCGACGCGTTTACTGACCTCATTGTGCTCCAAGCAGCCAATCATGAGTTCCGTCAAAATAACCACACCTGTCCTCCCCACGCCGGCGCTGCAGTGCACGACGACCGGCGGATTGCAGTTGTTGCTGCTGTCCAGAACACTGTTGGTGTGGCGGCGCACGGACTGGATCTCTTCCAAATAGGCTGCGAGGGTGGGAATAAAATGAAAATTGCATCCCCAAATTCTGTGCAGCTTCCCATAAACGATGACAAATGTATGGAAGAGCAAGTTTCCTTTTAAATTATGATAATTTACAGTTCTTCGAAGACACTAATTATTTGGCCTCTGGACAGCAAACAGCACCGGATCCAGCAAGTACCAGCAGGGTGGCAATTACTACTTGGGACTTGGATTCTTTAAATTAAATAGCTCTTTAAAAAAATACATACACGCACATTCTTTCCCCCTCTGCAAATCCCTAAGTCCCCAAAGCAGATGAGTGTAGACATTACTTACAGCAATTCCTGCTATTAACAGACTGAGATCAGAACTGCAGCAAAGTCCCCTTGAAACAAAAGCCTGTCAGAGCCAACACCTAATGGGAAGGGCACAGCCATCTGGTTCTTTCCACACCTTGCAGAATGAGTTTGAGTTCCAAGCATGCCCACCTGCACTCTCTGCTTCTCAAGTGCAGAGTCAGGCTTGCTTAAACAGCATTTTCCCACACCAAAGCAGCCCAGTGTAGGAAAACAAAACGGCCATCATGTCCACCCCTGTACTATTAGTGACAGAGCATCCTACAGAGGCTACAAGTTTTGGGATGCCAGAGAGTCTTTAACAAGATCAACAGTTCTGCCCAAATCATAAGAAGTAGTAGTTCCCTATAAAATTTCCCAGGAAAAGAATAATCCTGTGAATGCCATGCAAGAATGATCTAAAAGGAACGAGTGTGTTAAGGTTCCTTCTTGTTGGTTCTCACGAACCAGCCTGAGAAGAGTTTCTTCTGTTCTTTCCTCCCGTGCGACCATTTATTCTATGACTTCTGTCCTTTGCTGCTCACTTTGCATTTTGACAATGGGGCCCAAATATGACAGCAGCTGTATCCGGAAATGAGGCACAGCTCCAGACAATCACCCTGGCCTGCCACCCCAGGGCAACAGCAGCAAATTGGAACCGTCTGGGTAATTCGTTTTGAGTCAGGTCATGGAAGGTGTTTATGGGGTATCATCCTATAGAGCAATATGGCTGATCTCTTTGCTCAATAAAACGAGAGCCACTGCATCCTCATCTAGGTCACTATGTCCAGTTCTGGGCACCAGGATTTAAGAAAGATGCAGAAATATTAGAAAGGGTCCAGAGGAGGACAACAAAGATGATCCAGGGTTTGGAAACACTGCCCTGTGCGGAGGGACTGAGAGAACTGGGCATGTTCTGCCTTGGGAAGAGAAGGCGGAGGGACATATCACTCTGTAAGTACCCCAACGGCTGTCAAAAAGAGGAAATCAAGATCTCTTCTCACTGATACCAGAGTGTAGGACACAGAGTGATCAAGTCAAGTTGTGACAACCCAGATTCAGGCTATACATATCAGGAAAACTTTCCTCACCATCACAGCAATATGACAGTTGAACCAGCTGTCTAGAGGGGTGGTGGGCTTTCCCTCACTAGAGCCATTCAGGGCAAAACTGGACAGCCATCTGAGTGGGATGGTGAAACCTGCTGACCTGCAACAGCAGGGGTTGGACTGGATGGCCTTCAAGGCCCCTTCCAACTCTGCTATCCTATGATTAAGATTTCACCAGACTCTTTAGCCCTGTCTAAGCACTCTACATTAGGGACATGTAAGTATACAATGGATGCATACCACCTCCAGCCCTCCCATCACCATCCTAGCCACGCTTCCAGCACTGGGAGAGCCCTTTGCGCCTGTGAAAGTTCCCTGGGTGACTTAGACCCCTGGGAAATCACACCAGAATGGCTGGTCCCCATGGCAGGCATCATTCTCAACTCACAAGGATGGCAGGTGGAGAAGGACGGCCAGGTCATGCTTGCATTTGCTTTCCCTTTCCTCCAGCTTTTTGTTCCTTCCCAAGGCTGGAATACGAGTGCTGCCTGCAGGCTGCAGGCAGCCCACCAAACCATTGCTAAGAGCCAGCCAGGTCCTCCTGCATCTTTGCCAGGGTGGCAACTGTAGCAAGAAGAACTGCAGGGATGCTTCTCTGAGTGCTTCCAAGGGATCATCTTCCCTAACTGCTGATTTTCCCTCATTACCCATCGTGCTTGGAGCCAAGTTTTGGCTGGTAACGATGGCTCTTGGTCCTTCCTCGCTCCTGCGATTCCCTTGCTGGCTGCAGCAGCAGCTCACAAGAGAAACTCCCGGTGTTCCCAGGCTTGTGCATTTACAGGTGTGCATGTGCCTATGTATGTGCGCACATACATGAACCCCCATCTTACTCAGCGATGCCCTTAGACTCGAGCATTCCTGCCCTAAAGCAGAATGCTGAGAAGTTTCTAGTGATATAAGCGCAGGGATCTGAGGAACACTGCACATTTATTGGATGAAGTTACACATGTGAAGGCATCTTAGAGCGGCATCATAGCTGGTTGTCATGACAAGCAGCTTCTCTCCAGGGAGAGAATTACCACCACAGCATGAGAACCTAGGAAGGGCCACGCTGGACCTCATGGGGAATCGGATTTGACTCCCAGGTCTCCAGTTGTGATGCCTGCTTTCCCCACTAGCTGGGCCAAGTGCGGCTGGAAAAACCCTCCATTAGGGAGATCACAAATGTCAAGGAAGCACAATGGTCATCCATTTGTCTCACTGGAAATCCTTTCCTCCTCAACTTTTAGTAAGCGCAATTCCCCAGCCCATAAAAATGCCCGCACTTTTCAATTTCTTCACGCAAATATGCAGAAAAATCTTACACAGAAAGCCTTGTTCTTCCGGACAACCTTGATCTGGCCAGTCCGTGTACTGCAAATGCCACACAGTCTTTTCTTGTCCAAGCAAAAGGTGTTTGACCTTCAGACCGGTTGTGGCGTAACAACCGGAATCTGTGCGGAATTTGGTGGTCACCTTAAACTTCCCATATGTGGCTGAGCTGTGCTTGGAGCCAAGTTTCGGCCAGTAACGATGGCTCTTGGTCCTTCCTCGTTCCTGCCCCAGAACAAAGGGATGAAGAAGCAAAATTAGCATGGTTCTGCTCCATAAAATATGGCTGCAACATTTGGAGAGAGGAGAGGACCAGCTATTTAGCCAGCCAGTCTGGCAGAACGATTAGAGAGCTGAACTGAGATTCAGAAGATCTGGGTTTTAGTTCCCCACATGGCACTAAAGTACACTGGATGACTTTGGGCCAGGCAGTGACTCTCAGTCTAACCTACCTTGCAGGGCTGTTGTGAGGATCAAATAGGGAGGAGGAAGACTATGGAACATGTCCTGGTTTCCTCTCAGGAAAAGGCGTAGCATACAAATGTAATCATAAATGAAAACGGTCCTATGAATAGGTATTTAACCATAACTGGAGGCCTCAGCTCAACTCCTCATGAAGCTCACTGGATGACTTTGGTCTATTACTTTATCTCAATCCTACCAACCTCACAGGGTTATTGTCAGAATAAAACAGGCAGGGCGAAATCCCTGTCCCCTGCCCAGAAGTCCTTGGAACAAGGGCACAATCCAAATGTTTTAAGTAAACGTAACCATTTCATTTTGTTCCCTCTTTGTGCAAAAACAAGGAGCGATACCAAATGAGCAGCTGCCCAGCTGTGGCTTGCGCTGCTGCTACCGCCTGAAACCAGAAATAAGGCTTTGAAATATCAGCTTTTTATTTTGTCCTCGGGCATCTCCATCAGGGGCTCTGCTCAAGATGCTGACCGAAGCATGCACAGGGAAGCCAGTGGGAAATGAGAAACTGGGTTCCAGTAGTTGAGAGAATGAGTAAAATATTCCTGAGCCATTGCTCCATCTGAGACTATGCTTCTGTGTGCTCAGATGAAGGAACTACTGTACAAACACACAATGTGCCATCAACATCATTGTGTGCATCAGGAAAAAGGCATCTTGCCCAGAATGGTTTCAGGTGGGAAAAACAACAGTTTCCTCCAGAATCACGCCATTCAGCCAGTCACCCTGGATATAGTGTTGCTGTATCCCAGTGAAGTGGGGATGGCGGTAGGGAGGGAGAGGACCAATACTGTCAGAATGCCTCCCTTGAAAAAGGTGTGTCTCCCCTGCCTCAAGGCATGCTGGCACACGGAATTGTTCCAGGGTGTCCTTTCATCGCGGAGTCAGCATTCATACTGCCTTCACTGGGCAGAAGGTTCTGCCCTCTTGAGATTCTGAAGATTCCCTGCTGATCTGATGCAGTATAAAAAGCCTTAGCAAATCCATGCACACAGTGATGGTTCAGGTTATAAGACTGCCTGCCGCTGTTTAGAAAGAGACTTTCTCCACGGTCACATTAGCTGGCGAACTGTGTGCATTTAATGGACTCTTGCTCCCCCTTCTGAACAGCTGATGGTGGTAAATGTTTAAAATGGGAAAGATCGGGCAACGCTCCTTAAACAGAACGGCTGTTCCTCTGTGCCCAGCGAAGGCAGCGCAGCTCGGAGCTCGATACAGGGATTGTTACTGGTGCGTGCCAGTGTTACAGCCCACGGTTTGGGGATTACAACAGAAATAACTGTTTTATTTGGCGTGGGATGCAGACTTTTTGTTTTGTTTTGCTAGAGACTTCCAGGGGAACAACAGCTTCTGGTCTCTTTGCAGCTGATAAGGATGGCCCTATGCAGAGGTGACCTTGGATGAGTCAAGAATGTCATTCTTTTCAAACAAAAGGGCAGCTCTGCTTCTCAGAATTCACTGGTTTTGCATTTGCTTTGTTTGGCAAGCTACAATCTTTTAATGGACCTAAACTTCCATTATTATACAGTGTGGCCAGCTTAAAAGCTAGAAAGTTACAAACAAGGTTGTAACAGTTGAGTCATCCCAGGCAGAAGTTAAAAGGAATTTTTTAAATGCAAAAACAAATAAAAGCCTAGAACAAAAGAGATGAGCAAAGAGAAAAGGGGTAGCAGGCTCTCCGGCATCACAACCCGCCCCCCCCCATTCAAGCATCAAGCATCACAATGCATGTGCAAAGTCTCTGAGACTGATCGTGCTGTGTCCTCTGGAACTCTATTCTGTGTGTTGTACAAGAAGCTGAAACTGTGGTGAGCTTTTAAATGCCTTCTGAAGACACCTTGTTTCGGACTAGTTCACTGCTACAGTTCATCCTTGTTTCTGCTGTAGTGTTTTCAATTCATCAATGCTATTTTTATATTGATTTTATACTGTACACATACAGTGAACTGCTTGGATTAAAGTATTAAGTGATTAACAGCATTTACTCTGTTGCTATGTTCTACATTGTAAGCCGCCTAGGAAGGCCTCAGCAATTATAGGCAGCCTATAAATATATGTAAATAAATAAATAAATTTAGGAAGCACTTCCTGACAGTCAGGACCCCGAGGGTGTGGAATGGGCTTCCACGGGAGGTGGTTGAGGCTCCATCGGTGCGGGTGTTCAAGGATAGGCTGGACATGCATATGGTGGGCATGTCATAAGCGGAGTCGGCTGGAGCCGGGGGTCAGACTAGATGGCCCGGGAGACCCCTTCTGACTAGCTCTGCTTCTATGTTTCTAAAAAAATAAATAAATGCTATGGGATTAAATAAGTAAAACAAGGTCCTTTTGCAGAATTTGTCTTAGTGCTGTGCGCTAATGCCAAAGCAAGAAGGTGCTACGTGGGCTGTCCCACATCTTCTTCCCCTGAAAATTCTGATGATTTTTGCGTGAATGGCCACGTGGGGCCATGTGCAGCCTGTGGGCCATGCTTTTCCCATCCTATGGCTTCTGGAACTGTCTTGTTTAAACCAACCATCATTAATGGTGACTACAATTCCAGCATTGGAGGACCCGACAGGCTGCAGCCGAGCAAGAAAGCTTCTCAGCTTCTCTTCCAAGCTGTACAAGAGATGGAGAAGGGGGGGAACACAAACGCTTCAGAGGAAGCCAGGGCAAACTACAGTTCAGCATGCCATCCAACCGCAGCCCTGGCACCCGTCTGTGTGTACCTAAAGAGCCCTCCCCGCGACTTGCGAAGCACTCCTTCCTCGAAACGGCAACCATGACTCGCTTGCATTCACTCACAGATGTTTTCCGTCATTCCACATACCTCCTCTGCCGTCACCATCGCTATCACATTCACGCCTTCCTCCCACACCATCTGCCAGAAATCATGGCAAGTCTGTGGCAAAGGTCCTTGCGTGGCAATGTAGTGCCATTCTTCTCCTCCTATGGTGACCTGAACAAAAGCAAGCCAGAGGGAAAAGACAACCAATTACTTCTCGAGTTCAGTATGCCATAACTCTTCATCTGTTCATAAAATTTCACTTTTACATGTGAGTTCAACCCACCCACTCATCCTTCTTGTTGTTACTGCTACACACACAATATTATCCTTTATTTATGGTGTTTCTTCTCTACTTGAGTTCAAAGCAGAGACCAGATATGAATAATATATTTGTGCGCTGCTGTAGCTTTGAACTCTGAGTGGGCAGAAATATCATAAATAAAGGATAGCATGTATCTGACTCCAAGAAAATGTTTATCCCAGTAGGTTACGGGGCCTGGGTCAGCTTCACTTCTAGAATGACACTGGAAATAATAAACAGAAAACAACCAGGGCTGTGGGAAGGAAATGGCAGTTAAAGTAAAAATTGGATCCCTTCCCATACCTGCTCTTCCAGTGAAACACTGGTGCGCGCACGCACACACACACGTTACATATTTTGGGGGCAACATTCATTGGAAAAAGCAGGCCTGCCTCCATGACATGTAGCAGCATCTTACTATTGTACTCAGTCATATATGGCTATGTTTGTTTGTCCCAGTCAATAACATGTGTATGAGGTGGGAAGTGCCAGAGTTTAATGAAACTGACAAAAATAATCCTATCAATTTCAGTGAGCTGCAAAATCAGGATGTCTTCTCAGTAGGTCACAACTAAAGCATAGGAAGTTGTGTGTTGTCGAAACTGTAGGAGTGCAGTCACTGAAAAGTGAGATTTACTTTTGCACGGGCAGATAGAACATTCATATCGCTGACATCCTGGAATAAAGTCAAGAAAGCAAAAAGCAAAACAAAATCACCATGCAGGCAGAGTTGCAACTGAAGTCTGAAACTTGGTTTTGGAGGGTTGGGAGTTGGGGGCAAGATCTTATCAAAATGTTACAGGAGTTTTGCTTTTCCTGCTCTGCTGGGCACCAATTGTTTCTCCGCCTCAGCACAAGGCTTGAACAAAAATCCATAAATGGTCTAGGGGGAGTCCGCTGCCTGAGAAGTGGCAGCATTTGCCTGCCCCAAGTGCAGGATATTAAAAAATGATAACTGAATGAAAACCACTCGCTGTGTGACTGAGGTAAAAATCTGCAAATGCAATTCTACCTTCTGAGCAAAAGAACATCTGCTTGGCTCCTGTAACAGCCACTTGGAGTGAGGGAAGAAACAGATTGGCAGAGCACTCAAGTTGTGCACCACTAAACATTAGCACATGTCCCTACATGTGCTGTAGAACAATGCGCATACGTCTGATGCTGACACACCACATGAAAAATGAGCCCTTAAAGCTGGCTGGGGAGAATTCTTTCTTGGCCCCGGCCACCTGATCGGGTTGAAATTGTGCTTTCAGAAATGATTTCTCCTCCCAAAAATGGATGAATAACGTTAGGATTCCATAATGAGTCATCCAAGCAGAGGCAGAAAGTGCCAAGAACAACCAGTATCTTCTACCCACCAGGTCTTTGGCAGAAATCTGATAGGATTCTGGTTTTGAAAGGTGTTTTGACTCAACAAGGATTTAACATTGTAAATTATGACCAAGCTGCCCTTGAACCTCACCAGAGATGTCTTGCAGCAAGAGATGTTTATAATTTAAAGTTCTTTTGACCAGCATTGAAAAACGCTCATAAAATCAGGCACGTTCAAGTTTTACCAGCAATAATGCAGCCAGCATAACAAACTGCCGAACAGCTGTACAAAACAGTTTAGATATGGCAGGTTCTATGCAGTATTATGACCTGCACACAAGTTTATTCTGGGTACCAGTGTGCTTTCATGATCAGAGTTAGAAATGAGGGACCCCAGGTTCAAAACCCCACTCAGCCAGCAGGTTTATGGGGAAATCCTGGACCAGTAGTCCATTCTCAGCCTGAACTACCCCATATATTTCTTCTGATAGAGAAAGGGGAGAAATGCACACACACTTCCCTGAACTTCTTGAAGAAAAGCTCAGAGATAATGGTGTATGAGAGCTGAACCAAATCCAGTTGTGTTCAGCCACCTTTTCTTTCAAATTCGGGATGCAGAATGAGATGGTGACTGAAACAAGGCCAGGGTCTGAGAAGGACTAACGTTTAAATCTAAGCTCAGCCAACAGACAAAAGACAGCACAACGTTTATGCGCCAGCTAGCAATGAGTCGGAACCTAATAGGCGAAGGCAGAAACCTTTCTGGCACATGACAGAAACTCACTGGGGTGGCTTCTAGGCCTAGTAAAAAACAGCAGGGGAAACAACATGCATTAGAGGCCTCTCCGTGGCCTCAATCAATCCTATAAAATGGCAATATAAGCGTACAGTCCAGCATGTTAGTGAATCCCATGCTGTCTAGCAGGGATTAACTTAGTGTAAGTGCATTTAGGATTGCTGTCCAAGTGAGTCACAGCACCTGGTTAACATACAGGGGAGCAATGGTAAGTGTGCTGGGTTTTTAGCAAAGCGTTTAATAAATATTACTGGCCACCTAATGAAAAGGAAGACCCTGATGCTGGGAACGATTGATGGCAAAAGGAGAAGGGGATGGCAGAGAATGAGGTGGCTAGGGCAGTGGGGCAGTGGGTGTGAGCTTGGGTGGACTCCGAGGGAGGGTGGAGGGCAGGAGAGCCTGGAGGAATGTTGTCCATGGGGCTGTGATGGGTCGGGCATGAATCTGCGACTAACAACAACATTTCAGTAACAACAGGCATGGATTAAATACTGGCAGAAGAAACCAAAATAATGTGATTTGTGACCAGGTTGCTGCTAGGTCAGCTTCTCAACCTGGAACTGAGCTGTTCTCCTAGATTCAAGTCCAACACTCCTCCCTAGAACACCAGACTGACTTCCAGTGCCAGGATCTGTTTCCTTAGTCATTACCTTTATGTGTGAGGCATTGATGTAGCCCGTATTGTTTTCTTTGGTTGGTACCAGCTCCACTCTGTTCTCCTCATATGGAATGACTTCTCTGATACGGTTGCGCTCTGCGTTGTCAGGCAGCATCGCGGAAGTAAAAATCCCATCTGCTTTCTTCTTTGGAATTTGTTCATATTCGGTGAATACCATCCCCTCTTCCAGTTTTCTTCTCAGGGTTTTGCACTATTATATCCGAGTTAAATTTTAAAAGAAAGAGAAGAAGAGAGGATGCTCCATTCCAGGAAAGCTCCAGGTATAAAATATTACCACTGCTAAATATTTGCACTCCCATAAAGGGATAAATCTATGTACTATGTATAGTTTGGGGGAAAATTATATTCCAGTGCTTCCATCTGGCCTTCTAAAGATAATACAGAATTGAGACAAATACCCAGACTTCCTATGTGTTGGGAGCTTATCCTATTGGTCTTCAAGGAAGCTCCTTCATCTGGATTCCAACGATCACCAATTGTGATCACTTTCATCTTGCCTGGGGTAAATTTTCATTCAATTTTTTTTAAAAATATACTTCATTTCATTAATGCAAAAGTCCTTAATCTACAACATACAGATATGAAAAGGATAACTTATATAAGTTAAATATGTAATTAGTTTCCTTTAAAAAATTAATCCAGTTTCTTATGTTTCTCAGCAATAGTTAGGGTTGAGAATGCTCGTTTGCAGTTTTCATGAGAAGGAGGAGGAGAAGAAGTGGGGCTTACACTCCAAAATTTTGGTGCTACACTGCAAAATTCCTGATAATCTCTCCCAGCTGTTTTGCTGGACAAAGTAGACACTTGAGGCACTTCGAAGAACAGTTCCCAAGAATGACCCACTGGAATCAGCCATCCAAAGAAATTGAACTGAAAATCCAAATTCTAGCAAATTAACTTTGTTGACATTAAGATGAAGACCAATCACCCGTTACCAGACCAGAAATGCTACTGCAGCATAAAAAAAGCAAAGAAATGTATTTGTACTACTGCTAGGTCTTACTCTGGTTTTTACTTCTATTTTGTACTGTAGTTTTAAACTTCAAAGTTTTTACACTGTTATGTTTTTGAATTGTGAAACACTGACAGAGCTTTGGTTAGAAATGTAAAGAGCAAACAAACAAGGCTGTGTTATCAAGGAAAGTCTGCCCATGAGAGGTAACCATATAGTCATTTCATTTTCAGAGTGATGAGACCCTGGGGTTAAACTTGTGAGGGTCTGACACTGTTCCAAATGTGCCTCTTCCTGGAAGGCCTCAATCCTCTGAACAGAATAGCCTGAATGTGTGAATTGGGTAGGCCTGAAGAGGGTACACTAAATGCAGCATCCCGTGCACCTGCCCATCTTTAGACTTGGAATGCTGTGTCACAAGAGTTAAGCAAGAATGTTACCCACATTCTCTTGCGTACGACTAGGCCTCTCCATGCAACGGGGACCCCGATAATCTCACTGCAGAGGCCTACCTGCATGTGCCAATACCCTCCTGTGCTTACGGAGATGCTAATGGGTGAAGAGCACCAGTGCTAAATGCTGGACTCAGAATGAAGACACCTGGAACCAAATCCTTGCTCAGCCATCAAGCCTACCAGATGACCTTTTCTCTCCTTTTTTCAGCCTCTTCTACCTCCCATGGTCATTATTCCAAGGATAAAACTGGGGAGGGGAAGGTAGGCATCGTCCTTGCGCTCCTCAAAGGAAAGGCAGAACACCAACAGTCCATCAATAACCTCCAAAGAGATTTTGCATAATGGCAGGTACACTGGGCAGGATTCCTCCAACCTAAAACCACCCCACAAACCTTTACTTGCATGTGGAACTGGTGAACTTATGTGCACGATCACAATTTTGTGGGATGCCGTATTAGTCTGGCAGTACATATTTGCCTAGCCTTTCATTTCATACTTCAGAAATGGCTGGTGCCGACAGCAAGCAAAATAGCACGCTTTGTTTTGCAAGTCCTATTCTTACCCGCTCATCCATTGGCACCTTGGCTCCTTCATCCTGGCTATCCTCAGGCACTGGAACTCGAGCAACTGAGAGACCATTGAACGCTGCCAACATCAAGGGCCTCTTCTGGGCCTCCAGGCCTGCCATCTTCTGTTTCTCTAGATACTTTTGGCAAGAAAAGGCACGCTTTCATCTCGGGGTGATTAGAAATAATGCCAGCAGAATGTTGGAATGTCTTTTTAATCTCCCACAAAATCTACAATGCCGGCCGAGCAGTGCAGATGATCGCCATTAGTAGAGCAAATCCAAATGCGTCTCCTAAACTTTCTATTATTTCCCGCGGGGAGGGGGAACTGTTCCTACATGAATGCAGAGTTTTAATTTCAAAGGAACAGTCCCACGATACAGAAGATTTGCCATAAAAGACAGGCTTCTGTCTCGCTTGCTCTCATTCTGTGTAAATGTTAGGCAGAGGGTATGCAGAAACAAGTGAGCCAATAAACCACAAAGATGATATATAAGCCCAGACCGGTGCTGTGTTTTGCACAATGTTGCTACACTGAAATTAGGACAATGAGCTCTATTAAGTGTATAGAAAATAAAGCCACCCCCGTCCCCTGAACGCACACACCCCCCACCACCTGGAAAGGCTGTGAAATGGGAGACAGGAATGTTGACAGCTCTGAACCGAGCAAAGTTATTATGATTTTTGTTTCTTTTACCCCATTTTACTTCCAACATTGAGTTCAAAAGCCAGAAGTGTTGTCAATGCTTTCTGAAACTGAGTGCAATGAAGCATTTCTGTTGCCTTCGCTCTGCATGTGGGGATGCTTCCATGCCCTTCTGAACCCACCTCAATTGTTAGAGGGCGATGAACCTCTCACGGGGGATAAATTGGTTGTGAACTGCCTCTCCTGGCTTAGTTCAACAGCAGCTTGTCCTGGACTTTCAGATACATGGCTTCTTGGCTTCATATGTTAGCTTTAAAAAAAACTTGCAAGCATGCTTCATTTGGAGCATGGCAATTCAAGACCTAGATGCTCTGGGCTAATGCTGAATGCCTTGAGAAAAGCTATCTGCCCTGTGGCCATAATGTACAATGTGGAGGAGGAGGAGGAGGAGCATGCAACCAATTCTTGAAACTGTTAATCGACATAACACTTAACCATGGCATATCTAGTGACTGAAACCAATTAGTTTGCTTGGAGGCAACAAACCAGGATTGGAAAACACATCTTGATGTTGGTTTGCATCTATCATGATTTGTTATTACAGCTGAATTCACAGACCACCAAAAAAACCAGTGTTAAAATGCCCCTGGAGTCTAATACACCATGGAGTGGGGATTAACATCTGACACTGAGCACTGATTAGACAGGAAACAAAGGCAGACAAAGCCCCAATCCATGCTTTGCCTAGGGTACTTTGGGATTCTGTTTGTGGAATTTTATTGTTCTTAACTACAGTCAGCCTACTCACATGACATTAAATGTGAAGGTTTACTCACACAGTTCTTATATCTTGGAAGAATGACAAGAACTCTGGAAATCTGCATAGTGGAGGAGCAGAGAATGTGGTATGTAACAGAGTAAGCTATCTGGGAGTGGAACCATGAGCATCTCAGCAAAATTCTTTATTAGGTTTCCAGCCCATATGATTAGGATTGCATTTTCCCCAGAAGTGCCATTCTTGATCTGACTCTTTCTCCCTGGCCACCCACACGTTGAAAGAAGCATTTATCCCTAATCTAGAATCGCTGTAAATACCCTTGCTTTTTTATCAGCACGTAAGAGACTTATAAAATGTGCATATTGTAACGCACCTTCATCTCTCTTTCTATGATGCTGTCTTCAATAGAGAACATTTCAGAAACAGGCCTCTCCTTCACGGGCTCCTTCTTGACTCTCTCCTTCACGCTTGTGAGGTCGGGCTCGGAGATTGAGGGGCCAAGCGAGGAGCTGTTTACTGCCAACTGATCAGTCCGAGATATGCTGATGGCCTTTGCTGGCCCTGGCCTTATGGCCCTGGCCCGTGAGGCAGCAAATGAGACGCTCATTTGGTCATTCCGCAGAGCTCCATTGCTGACACTCTTCCTCGGGCCGGGATACTCCGGGGGAGGCTTATTTGGTATCCTTGCCAGGGCAGCTTGCAGCTGGGCGCTGTACTCCATGTTTTCATGGAGTGCCGCCATGGACGGCACAGGCTCTGACGGCTCCTCCTCCTCTTCGCTTTCACTGCTGTGGATCAGCATGGTGGCATCCGAGAAGGTCTTCTTGTGATGGTAGCGAGGGAGCTGCTGCACTTTGTGGCCCCTTGGCACTGCCTCGTCTGGCTGCACCTGCTCCCGCAGCGTGTTCCTGCGGGGCAGAGGGGCGTTCAGGCTCTTTAAAGCCATGGCTTCTATGCCACGCACCATGCTGCTTATCACTTCCAAACTGTGGCGCTTGTTGGCAGCCGCGTGGTGCTTGACCGCCATCAGGGGCTCACTGACCTCCTGCAGCGACTGGTGGACCACCGGGGAGCTATCCTCCTGGAAGGTCTTCACAAAGAGCTGGACCTTCCGAGTGACCAGGTCGGGGCTGCTGCCGCTCACGTACTTGTGGCGGTGACTGGCAAGGTCAGGGGTGCTGGTTGCCGGGCGCGGACGCGGGTAGGGCGGTGGTGGCCTGGAAAGGTAGTTCTTTAAGATGTGTGCCGTGCTGCATCTCTGACTGTTGGGAAGCTGCATGTTGGCCAGCTCCGGCGTGCTGACAGTGTGGGAAATGGCACTGGTGGCGCCTTTCGTCTGTGCGGCGTTGATGGGGATCACTTGCTCAGAGGGAGCAATGTGCTTCTTGTAAGTGCCCTGGGGCCCATATGCGATGGCATAAGGGGGTCTCTCCCGTATCTCGGGCTGGCTGTACACCAGGTCTTTGGGCTGGTTGTAAGCATGGGCATTCCCGATGTTGAGGTTCCTCAAGGACTGGCTTTGGCTGTCCGGGTGAACCACCCCTCTCTTCATTTGCCTCATTACAGTATCATAGTCTGGTGTCGGCCTATAGGAAGGAACAATGATTGCACTGTGTCTATGGCTTGGGATATAGTCTGCTCGCATGATGTCACTCCCAGGGATGCTGGGGTTGGAGGACACTGGAGAAGCTTGCACGAAATTCTGCGAGCGGTTGAGAGAGTTCATACTCTGTGCACTGCACACGCTGCCGTTGGGGACATTGCCGTTCAAGTAGCTGTAATCTATTGCACATCGGTCCAAGCTGGTCTGAGATCTACAGTAAAACATATCTTCGTTTCCATGAAAAATGCTGTCTGAGTACAGGAGAAGTGGAAAACAAAGAAGATGGAACAAACAAGCTAATATAAGGAATAAAAGGCAGAAGAGAGGATGCAGAAGCATTCTTGGTGGTGGCGGAGGTGGCAGCCCTGCCTGGCTAGCTGAAGAATGGGAGAAGCCTAGAGTAATCAGGGAGTTTGCCACAGTTTGAAACAGGAACATGATAAAGAGGTGGGGGCTCTGGATCGCTTCCTGTTTCATTAACGAAAAGGCATAAATCCTCACAGTCCAACAGACCCTGGCAGGTACAAGATCTTGAATGTGAACTTGGAGCTCTCTAGCCTGCAGAAACACAGGCGCACTCTTCTGTGCACCATTCCAGATAGGCCAGAACAACTGGCTCCCCTCCCTGTTCCAGTTTAGAGAGGGGAAAGTCTGGGAAAAATGGGAAGAATTGAGAAACTGCCCCCCACTTTCCTCATTTCTTCTTGCCATTTTACTTTTCCCTCCCAAATTGGAAACATGGAACAGCTTTGGGTTATGAAATCGTTTCCTTCAGGTTTTATGTGTATGTTGTCACTTAGCCTTTACTCTCCCAAAATTATTTCTAAATACAGTATTGAGAAAACGTTTACAGAAAGACTAGAGATGTAAAATGTCTGGGAACAATGAAGTCATGGGGGATTTTTTTAAAAAAAATCCCACTCCGTAAGATTTCTGGCACAGTTATTTCTTCTATACCCTTTACTGACAAATATTTATAATCATCTTTCTCAACATATGAATAAGCATCATCATAATATGGAAGAAAAAGCACATTCTTGACAGTCTGGGTTTTGTTCTGCTGAACTCTGGGTTTCTAGGCTTGTTGTGGTTAGATGCTATAGCAGTCAATTAATGTAGTTCTAATCTAATCTAATCTAATCTAATCTAATCAGTTCCATATGTGGAAAGAAACCCAAACAAAACACTGTGGGGTTTTTTAACAGTAATTCTGAGGCTTAAGTCTTTATCACTCATTGTTGAAGGGTTTTTTTTTTTAAATCAGTTAGATACCACCATTAGCAACTGCTACCTCAGCAACTGCTTTTAATTACTGCCACTACCTAGCACAGCAGTCCTGGTTCAGACCTCACATCTGCCACAAACCATGTTGCTGGTCTTAGGGCAGAGGTAAGGAAGTTCTGCCTCTCAGGCAAATATGGACTTCCAGGGCTTTTGAACTGGATTTCTCTCCTCAGGACAACTTCCAGGCTTGCCTGCCTCAGGATTTCTGGCACTTTTGACTCTCACTCTGTCCTGCAGCTATGAAGCTGATGGAAGGAAGTTTGCACAAACTGGGGAAGCTGCATGTTTGGATGAAAATGACTTTTCTTTTTGGCTTGCTGGACAAAGGGAAGAGTCACCTCTGCCATCCCAACCAGTTCTGGTTCTAGCTATGCCCATTGTTGAAACAAGGACCCTGAAAGGTTTTGACGGAAGTAGAGCAGGCCTTGACAGGAAAAAATTATCCCTGCCTTCCACTCCTGCCTGAGGGCAAGGCACTGCCTTGTGGCTTCTTTAGCAATTTCTTGTGCCTACAATATGGAAATGCAACCATATTTATGTAGTACATTTCTGTACCACCCAACAGCCAAAGCTTTCTAGGCAGCCCACAACAATTAAAATCATAAAAGCCACTGTAGAAACCTAGCAGCAGAGTAAGGATTTAAAACTGAGACTCAAAGACTAAAATTAACTGCTGTGAACAGCTCAGGGAGCTTCAGCTACTGGGCAGAAAAGAAAAGAAACATAGAAATACAATTGCTGGGCAAATAAGGTCTCCACCTGGGAATGGAAGGAGCACAATGGAGGTGTCATGTGAGCTTCCCTGGCATTCATTCAACAACTGGCATGCCAGAGGAGAAAAGACCCTTTTCTTAGAAGCCACCCGAGTCACTGTCTTTGGCCTCACAGGGTGACACTTAGGATCTGGCCAGGTATATATGCAAGGAGGTGATCCTGCAGGTAACTCAGCTCCAAGCAATTTACCACATTGCATTTTAATACCAGCATTTTGAATTGGCCTGGGATATTGCTTTATTCAACACTGCTGCTGCATAGCTTAGATCAGGTTTGTGACATGCTCTGAAAAGTTCCTGTGCTATATGCAAATGCTGCTGCTGATTAAATACCTTGTGAATTGTGAGTTTCAGTGTAGTGTTCTCCACACTGGACGTGCATAGGAGGCATAATAAATGGATGCTGCCTTGGCTAAAATGTAAAAAAAATACGATTTAACATGTATTTACAGAGCAAAACTTGCAGTGATGCATCAGTAATCCTTCAGCAACCTCAACTAGTTCACTATTAGCACACAATCACTACAGAATTCACTTTATAGATCTTTAATTTTCTGAAGTTGTTTGCATTAGTTTTTTGCAGTTCCCATCAACAACTTTAGGATTTCCTTTCTTACTAGTTGGCTGGATTTTAATGGTTTTTCATTAACATTTCACTGCTCCCAAGATATTTACCAAAGATGATCTACTCCAGGTGGGTCGTCGCCTGATAGGAGGGGGAGAATTTGATTGTCTGTGGGAGGAAAAAGGAAAGATCATTCTTCTTCATCATCTTTATCCTGTAAAATGCATATTCTTATCTAGCAAGTATGAAACAAGCCTTTGCATCTGCAACTACCTGCTTTTCAACAAATATAAAAAGTGCATTTGAAAAAACAGGTAGCATTAATATATTCTTTTAATTATAAAGACATTAATCTTTTGTAACACACATGCCTTTTTGAAAAACCTTATTCTATCCTGAAATTGCTGGAAAAATTAAACAGAAAGAACTAAAGCATTTTGAGGAATGAGAACTGAACCAGAGTCCAAAACAGGCCAACAAGGTTATGACTGCTTTTCCCAGCCTGGTATTCTCCAGATGTGTCAGAGTACAACTCCAATAATCCCTGGCTTGTATGTTCAATTATGGGAGTTGCAGTCAATCACAGCTGGATGGTACCAGGTTGAGGAAAGCTGGTTAAGGTGAAGAAGAAGGAAAAACAGCAACAGAAAGAGCATAGCAAATCATCAACAAGCCACACAAGCCAAGACAGAAAAGGCGACTGATCAAATAGATGCTGGACACAAGATGCATGTTGGGAAAATTTAAGGAGGAACAGAAAAGAATACAGAAAAGGAAAAAAAAAAAACATTCAGAAGAAACAGCAGGAGTAAAGTGCTTACGTGTAGAGAGCAAAGATGGAATTTCTCCTCTTACAGTTTCTGATCTGGTGAATGACGTGATGTGCAATTAGAAAATAAGCACACAGAAAGAAACGCGAACAGCAGAACCACTTCCAAAACAGAGAGATTAGGAAAGGCCTTCAGACAGAAATCATCCACCTTAAACACCCCTTCTAGGTATAAACCCTCCAGTATTCACTGTGTTGATTTCTGAATGCATGAAACCCACATCTCAGACAAAGCTGTACAGGTTGGTAAGCAAAATATACAGCATGATATACAGTAAAACAACAACCAATAAAAGAATAAGAAACATATAACCCAGCAACCAATAAATAAAAATACCACAAAAGTTGCCACAGCTACCATGGAAAATCTATGAAAAGCCATTACCCCCAAATGTAATTGTTCTCTAGAACCATCATGGTTTCATCTCAAAGTATATGAAGGAGTGTCTCCAGTGCAAGACATTTCATACTTTGGGTGCTGTCACCAACATGGTCCTAGAGCTCAGGGTCAATTCTGTGCCCAGGTGACAGGGGACTATTAAAGCAGCCCTATACTTAAGCCAGGGTTCCAAGCCTTTTTGGGTCAGTGGGCAATTTTGGAATTCTGAGAACATGCAGTTGGCATGCTCTCAAAATGGCTGCCACAAGGGGCTCCCTATTCACAAAATGACTGCTCTGATGGACATGGCTAGTCACAGAGGACCTAATTTCCAGAAGACACACTGGTGAGACTTAAAGAGAAGTAACTTCCCATGAACCAAAGGCAGAGGTGGGGGCAGAATTCCAGAAGTCAAAGCCACTCCCTTGAACACACTTGATCGCTATGTAAGTGAAAAGGTAATCATAAGCAACGGACTTGGCCGTTGGCCCTGTGGGGCTGCACTCCCACAGAGCTTCATCTACTATTGGTTTATTACATGGCTATTTTGATCTTGATGCTCAAAGCAGCATGTATGATATTTTTCCCTGTCCCCTGCTTATCCTCGTAAGAGCCCTGCAAGGTGGGTTGGTTTAAGAGTAGGGGAATACCCCCTGACTATCTCAGTAAAGTTCACAACAGAGTGAAATCTGAATGGGCCTCTTAAGCCTGAGCCCAAAGTGCCACTACATCACACTGGTTTCCCATATCATCAGAACAATGCTGGTGGTTACAAGGTTGCTATGTTGAACCATATTATGGACTGAAGCATGATTATTCCCTTTAGTCACACTTTCTTATCTTCCGGCCTCCAAGAATAAAGGAAGAGAAAACAGATGCAAGCCTAGCCTCCATCACTTTTGTCCACCATACTCTGCCCTAACTCTGAAAACACGCTGTGCTATACACAGCATTGGGCTTCTCAGGCAGTCTATTCTACCAATACTCTACATTTTCCCATTTCTGACCCTGGCTATAGTCCTGATGCTTGTCCTAAGGAAAGAGCCACAATTTTCCTAACTGCAGGTATTAATTTTTGTTTAACTCCATGTTGGAGTGGAGCACATCAAACATTGTATACAAAGTCATGTGAAATTTTTATTGCACTTGATAAATAACATATTCTGTCCAGGTCTGCACAATTGCAGAATGGTTAACAAGCCATGTGTTGGGAGCAGGCAATCCTCCAAGCAGATATGCTGCCACTGGGTTATCTGGGGGTTGCCCCCCACCCAACAAGCCATGCTACCTGGGTTCAGGTAACATGGCAAACTGCTCCAGCAAGGAGAATTAGGGTAATCTGGCAGGCCCAACATGGAACATGAAGTAGGGGAAAGGAGCCACAGCGGCTTATTTCCTTTGCTGCTGTTGAGCAAACCGGCCCTGGTCCCTTGCGATGGGGTTGCTTCTGCCTTCCAATCCCTTTGCTCATGTTCCAATGAAGCATCAGTGCTGGGGCAAATTAAAGTCAGCCTTGTACATGTACGGGCCCTTGGCCAAGAAACCCGGAATATTTCAATGAGTCTGACAATGCTGCCATGTCTTCAGCTCTTCCCTCTGTTATGCAAGCTCAACAGATGGCAACACTGATAAGACAGATGTGGATGCTCAGCCTGGAAGTGGGCCTACAAGGTCAATGAGGGCTTCCTCTTGGCCGTGCCATTAACCCATCAAGTGCTGGGACACAGTTTGCTGTTCCTAGCAAAAAGGATCTTTGGAAGTGGAAAGGGAACTAGAGAGATACTGAATGCCTCTTGCCCAATCTTACATGTGCCTACCCAGGAGTGTATATAGGGTTAGGATTGCTGATATGGTTAACTGATGATTAAGTATGGCAGGGGTGGGTGATTTGTCTCTCTCTGTATGTGGTTGGATCACAGCTGTCATCATCCTTGGACATCTAAGGCTGATGGGAACTGAAATCAGAAAGTTTTGGAAAGCACAGGTTCCCCAACCCAGATGCATTACATGCCTTAATATTACTCCTCATTCATTCACTCATTCACAGATATATATACATCACTGTCTGCTACCCCCACAGGGTCAGCTGATAAAATGCTCGTATCATCCCTGGTCTCATGATCTGGCTGCTTGTTCTGGAACCTAGAACCTGACCACCAACTGCTCTTTGGCCATGTCATTTTCCTTTAACCCTCTGGACCTTAGTCTACCTGCACTGGAACTGGACCTCTAGCTGCCCCTGGATCTTGTGGCACACCTGTCTGTGCCTCGCCATGTCCAACAGATATTCTGCCTTGACCAGGTTGATAGTTAATTGGCAAAAGGCACACCAGGGGTCCCGAAATCCTGGTTTGTTATGCTGGCATTGCGGAGGAGGATGGTTAATCAACGAAAGAGAGAAAAAAGCCATGGAAGCCTGGCTTATTATCCTGATTATGCTGACCAGCACTGGAGGAGATATAAGGGAGCTGCAGAGAAAGGTCAACAAGGGTGTCTCCCACTGGACCAGCAGAAGTCACTTCTGGCCATGCTGGATTTAAGCAGCACCTGGAAGCAGCCACCCAGAAGGCCCATTCTCGCCTTCCAGCCAAAAGCGTCAATGGCGCTTACAGAAATAATGTTAGTGCTTCTTCTGAAACTCTAATGTTCCAGATAAGATAATTTGTACGGGGTCTTATCTTGGATCTCTGAACCAGAGTTACCATCTTTGATATCACTGTATCTGCAAAGAGCCAGATGGAGGACAAATACTAAAAAATGCCCTCAACAAGCCAAAAGCCTGGACCGAAGCAAGGCTACTTTGCATTCCCCACAGTGAGCCAGGAGTGGCAAAGCGTGTGTACTCACTCTGTGCAGATGTTGTTTTGTTTGTAAAACTTGTGCTTTGCTGCAAACAACCGTGAAATGTACTTGGCATTTTCAAGGTCATCCTTTAAAAGCAGAAAGGAGGGGGTGGGAATGAGAGTGGAACACAGGAAAACACACACATCTAATTACACCTTGACTTGCTTAGCAAAGAGTTAGTGACTGCAGCCATTGTCTTCTAAAATATTCAGGAGGAATAATATTTTCCTCAGAGAGGTCCCTGCAAAATTCCAAGTCAACGGCATCTGAGGGATTGCACTAGTGGGCTGCAGATGCAACCTTGTCACATGACCTGAGCGCATGATGTGGTTACACTGGTAAACGTGGCCAAGTCTTTGCCCATTCAGGCCCTGGGTGGGACGGCGCAAGAGCCCCACCTAAGTTATTCTGTGAGCAGCACAGAAGTGCACAAATATGTTCACCAAGGCGGTGGGAGTTTATGCAACAGCCCTGGAGGTGGCGCTTCCCTTCAAAATCCATGGGGGTATCTGAGCCAACGAATTCTAATGTAGATTGGAGGGTTCTCCTTATCCAAAGGTAGTGTTGAATCATCGGGAAAACATGCCCCATTCTGGCTCTAGCTGGCCAGCTGCCTAAGGAAACTGAGAACTAGATGATACGGCATTTCTAAGTCAGTGGGGCAGAAATCTCAGACAGCTATCCAGTTGGGTTGCTCATCTTGCCTTGATTCTTCTATCCAGTGGACAAATACCAGGGCAGACATCCCTTCACCTACACCACCCAAACATGTTAATAGAAGCATTTGCTCCAGTTGTTTTGCCCTGCTTATATGGTTTCACCATCCTACCTGAGGCTACTTTGGGTAGGATGAGGCTACATGGGTGTTGAACCTTGAGCCCATAAGCCAAATCTGGCCGTACCAGTTGGCCACACCTCCTTCCTCTGGCACCACCCCCTTTCCCGTAACTTTGGTGGTTTTACAGCACCATCATGTTTCTTCCTCATTCCATTTGGCTGAAATGCCTCTGAAAAGCAGTAAGAGCTTTAATCTAAAATACAAGTCATTTTGTCTATTTTGGCCACCATCAGTTTTGATTTGGCTCTGACTATCACTAGAATGCAGTTCCCAAAAGCTTCTCTGAAACTGAACTCCTCTTCCAGGCTGAAAGTTCTTTGACACCTTTATTTGAGAAGTCAATAAATGGGATCATATTCTTGGATTTCCAAACCTACAGAAATACTACCATAGTCTACAGCAGCCTTCTCCAGCCTGGCACCCTCCAGATAGATTGGACTACAACTGTCCCAGACGGTTGAGGGAAGAAGAGGGCTGTAGGGCTTCCATCACATCTGGAAGACACCCAGGTTGTGGAAGGCCGATTTACTATATACCTCCGAGAGGGCTCAGGCTACCCCCACTTTTCCTGTTAGGATAAAGGTGCAAGGGACAAAGGCTTGCTACACATCCCTGCAGAGTGGCAGTGCTAAGAGGCTTGGATAGTCCCTTCCAGAGGAACAGGAGATGCTTCTGCAAGTGAGTCAAACTAGTCTGGTGCTATGGAAAGCCAAGGTGAAGCACGAAGCCAGTCTGGTGCTTGTGGAATGGACTGCTACTCTAGCAAGAGGCTTCTGTATTCTTCTGAGGTACACATCTGAATCCTCCTGAAGACTGGATGAGTGTTCAGATTCAAAGGCTGCATGCCTCTCTGAACACTGGTGCTGAGGAAGGGGCTATCACCTATAAGCTCTGCTTGGGAAGTTCCTAGAAGCATCCAGTTGGCCACTGCGGGAATCTGGGAGGACAAGTTAAAAAGACCCATGATCTGATCCAATGAGGCTTTTCTTATGGTCCCATGGAATGGAGCCTCCATGATTAAGATACCCCCAATTGCTGGAGGAAAGCAAAACATGGTAAGCACCGTATGCTTTGCCGATGAGCTTCCTAAGCCATTTGGCAGGCCGCTTACAGAGACAGAAAACTGGACTGGGTGGACCCTAGCCTCATCCTGCAGGCAAATAGTACGCCCTCACAATCTGGGCGGCATCAGCTCTGTTCATCAATTGTACCTGGGGAAGGGCATGTACTGCCCCAGCCATCTCCACCTTGACCTTGGAAGATGGCAATTGTGCTCAGCTGAATAAAATTACAGTTCATTTCATTTGGAAATGACGAAGGTTCCCAGGTAAAGGTCCTCAGGTAAAGGTCCTGAGTTACAGTCCCCTCTGGCTTCACCACTCCTTAGGAAGGTCAGGGATGGACCTGATGCCATGCCAGGAATCTCATGGATAAAATTTACAAGCAGCTGAACAGGGCAAGTGGGGGCCAAGCATCCGCTCCGATCAACCCTTGCAATTCACTCCCAAGCTTCAGAGGTGATCTGCAGGAGGTCAGATCACCAGACTGGCAAGCCTCTTTATCAATCTGTCACTCCTGAAACAGAAGTGATGACAGGCTTAGCCGAAAACAAGGAACCTGGGGTTAAAAAATAATACTTGCCTCTGGATACTGATCTTTTCATGTTTTGCTTACCGTATGAAAGAGCACCGACTCTTCTTTGTTGAGCAGTTCCACAGCGATCGAAGACTTGTTATGTGTTATATTTCCAATGTCGTTCCACCTGCAGAAAAGCATATTTGCTGAAGCAGACATGTTATTGCAAAACAATGCCCTGGTTTGCCTTTTAGTGGTTTTTTATATGAAGTTGATTCTGTCCTCTGAGATTTCAGGGATAGTTGTGAGATCAATCTGGTCTGACATTTTGAACTGGTTTTACTGCTTTTCTGGCACACTGTTTTGCAGGTTCTGCTTAGGACAAAAGGCAGAATACATGTATTTTAATAAATAATAAATGTACCTAGAGAATGATGTAGTGGTTTTATTACAAGAAATATTTCTTACAAGCAGAAAGTCTTGACTCAGTTTCTGGACACATGTATCTTTTTGGCACCAGGTTAAAATCACTGTATATTCCCAAGAATTTAATGGTCCCTAATTGCAAATGATGGGACATTTATGTTAGTTTGTTGTTAAAATATTTTCCAGTTGCTTAAATTGTTTAAACTTTGCATATTGAAATGTATGTTGCATTTTATTAGCTGTGGTTTGTAATCTTATGACTCTTGAGACCTACCTGGAAAGCTCTGGCTAGTGGGTGACACAGAAATAACAATAATCATAATTACTGTCATCACCGTGTAAGTTAGCAGGATTTTATGTCTTCATTATTTGTAAAATTATCCCATATTTCTTTGGGTAAACTTGTGAATTATAATTAAAAATGCTGAGAAGAGCAACACAATCCCAAGGGCATTATTGCACTGCAAAAGCAGTATTCTGAGAAGTGCAAGACAAAGCACAGTGACAGCAGAGTTGGCGGAAAAACAGCCTGCGCAGTGCAAACAGGAAGGCGCCCAGAAGCCTTTAGCCAACACAGAAGGTTTTCCTGAAAGCTGCGTGCAAAAGAGGAGGCCATAAGGAAACACGGTGTGGCCAGGCAGCTTCACCTGGAGAAGCATAACAGCTTCAAAGGGGCATTTGCTTACGCATGTGAGAAATGAAATTTGAGGGGGTTAAGGAACATGCATGGAAGCCTTATCCCCAACATCCCTGGGAATGCAGGTTCCTCAAAAGACTGAGCAGGAAGGCCTGCAAAGAGTTTCGTGCCAAGCGCAGCTAAATGGGAAATCAGAGATTTGAGGCAATCAGGATCCCTGCCTTTGGAGGTGCTGTCCCACTGAATTCAGTGGCAAGTTTAAAAGGGTTTAAAACCTCAAGCAGATCATCCACTGATCTTACCTGTACATCACTGTGGGCCGTCCCATTCTATTCTTGACAAAAATACCCATGCAGAAAATTCCGAGATTCATGTCGTTACCTTGATTGTCCTGTGCAGGGGTGAGGTGGGCAAAACACAATGAAGTTTAAAGTTTATTCTCCCCAAACTTCAATCATCAAAGAGGCAACCATTATAACATGTGGTTAATTCTTATTCTTTATGTTATTTCCATACCACCCAATGGTTGAAGCTCTATGGGCAGTTTACCACAATAACAGAAAAACACACCAACCATGTCCCATCTCTCATTCAGATGCCTTCTGCACCAGCCATTTCTCTGCAAGATGTCAGCATCTTATTATGTATTTATTTAAAGCATTTTTTTCTGTTCCTGAGCCCCCCCAAAAAAAGCTTCCAGAATGGTTCACATGCAAACAACAGAGCAAGGCAGCCCCTATGCACAGGGTTACAATTTAAACAGACACCACCCACAATGACAACAGGGTGGAAAAGGAAGTAAAGAAAAAGTGACGTAGACAAAGCAGGGCTGGCGCGTGCCCCTGCTTGCCCCTCTCATCTCCCACTGCATAGCCCTCCCAAATGGCTGCTTCCACTGGGGGGTGCTGGCTTTATGTATTGCACTCAAATAAAACCCACAATGCACTTGTTTCTTTCTTGTTCCTAAGCCATCTATCAGAGGTATGCTTTCCAGATAGAATACTAGCACAAAGAGATGGCTTCGACAAAGCAGAGCTTGAAAAAAACCTGGAAGGGACAATCTGATGGCCTCTAGGCAGTGTGCAGATGGTCACGGGAAAGGCCAGAATACCAGCTCTGACCTTGGAATGCATCTGAGTGAAGAAGAGCCTTCCTCAGCCCTCACAACTGGTACAACTGGGCTGTGGCTCTGAAGTTACAAGCTCAGCTCTGGAGCCAGCTATGTAGGGGGTGGAGGGGGGAGTGTGTGTGGGAAAGATCCAGGGGCAGGGAGGAGAGGAGTAAGGCTCCACCAGGATACATGGAATCCTACTGGTGCTTCAGCTCCTCCTCCTCCTCACAGGTCTGAGAAGTGCAGTGGCAATCCTTTCCTCCACACTCCTTTTGTGCTCAGGTGGATGCCTGGGTTGGAAGGCTTACAGGCATCCACCTGGATCCACCTGATTAGCCACTGTCCATGTTTACATGGAACAAAGTTCTACAACTCACACCATGCCCCTGATCGCATGCACTTTGTTATGTCTACATGTGCAGAGGCCTGCACCACTGTCATTCCCACAATGCCTCGAGGTGGTTCTTAAAGCGACACCACCACCGCATCCTTCTAGTTCACCATGTGCAGCACTCATCTCGCTCTGGCGCTCATCAAACATTGTGAGGGGGAAGCTGAATGAGTCATGCTATTACAGAATTGATTTGCTGCAGTGCAGAACTTTAAATCGGATGTAAACCTTTGATTTCTGACAGTTGTCTAAAGCCTGGACATGGACGACTGCATCAATTTCCACATTCTGGTGCAAAACACACACACACATTAACTTTCATGTAGACTGTCACAAGATCTAGAGCTCGGAAGCCGGCCAAATCATTAATTTCCTTCTGTCCCTTCAGGCTATTGCAAGAGTCTTCCTGATTCTTTGCATCAGCTGCAGAGATCTTGAGCTGGGATATGCCTTAGGGTAGAAATGGAATTGCCTGTGGCACATAAAGCTACAGAATAGCTTAACAACCCACACAGACGAAAGGGGACTTTTATATCTAAAAAGCACAACTTTTTAATTGATATTGTAAGCTCACATACACGGTTTCTGCCTACCTAGGTTGCAAATGTGTGATATATCAAAGCAACCAAAATGTTTAGATCAAATTAAAATGCCTAAGTAAAGTGGGTAGAATCACAAAAGGGTTACTGAACAAACTAAAAACATGGAAAATAGCTATTAGATCTTACTCAGCTTCTTTTCAGCAGCATACAACACTTCTAATTCTTGATTAAACGCTATAATTTGCAACCCAACAACTCTAGAGTAGCCCCACTGCATCTCTGAGACTCATCTGGAAAGTGAAAATAGTGCAAAATTTAGCAGCTAGGATACTGATAATACACCTTTGGTCAGAGGACTGGACAGGTTTCCAGTATATTATTGGACTAAAGTTCAAGGTGATGTTATTGACATGTAAGGGCTTGAAAAACTTGCTACATGACCAGGCTACCCATCTTCTCCCATACCAGCCTGCCCATTCAGTGGGATCTACAGTTCAGGGTATTCTGCTTGCTCAGGTAAAGATACATCTGCAATCATCAGGAGGGCCTTTTTTGTTGTGGCCCCCACACCTCTGGAATCACCTCTCAAGTCAAGTGTGACGGGGACTATCCCTGACAGTGTTCAGCAACCAACTGAAAACTACACTCCTCGGCTTTTGCTGATTTTACTAACTAGCTTTCCTTGCTGTTGTTTCTTTCATTTACCTGGGAATCTGCTAATGAAGGGCAGCATATAAACTTTTCAAATAATACTAAAAATAACTAAGTAATTATTTTACAAGCTGCAGAAGCAAGGAACCCCCGCAGAACAAAAGAGTGTCTGCTCCTTTGTGCAGTTACATGGGAACATCAGAAGCTGCCTGAGTCGAGCTCCTGGTCCATCTAGCTGAATATTGTGAACATGGACTGGCAGCAGCTCTCCAGGGTTTCAGGCTGGAGTTCTTCCAGCCTTACCTGGAAAAGTGGGATCTGGACCTTCTGTGTGCCCAGCATTTGTTCTGCCAGAGCAAGTCATGTTCCCTCCCCTCAGAACATGCATTGGAAAGATTGTAGCCTGAGCATGTGCCTCATAAGCTGGAGGTCTCAACTTGAAGGCTTGAGTCTCTAGTCAGAAAGTGACATGCAAAACAGGAACACTGGGAGAGAAGCTGGAACTGGAGAGCCATTGTCAGCTTAAGCAGGTTGCTCTGGGCTAGACTTGACCAAAGCTTGGCTGCTTTGTAGAAAATGGGCTGAAGAAGAAATCACAAGGAAGGTCAACAGCACTGGCCTGGACTGTCCAACTAAGCAGTAGACTGTGCTACATGGGAAGATCAAGCCAGTCTCTGTATGCAGCACATGCACACCTAAAAGGCACTACCTGTAAGGCAGGTAGTGTGTCCAGCAGATTGTCTACAGGAGGAGGGTATAGGCCTAGACAGAAAAAGTCCTCCAGCTCCTGCGTTCTCCAGCAGCTTGCAGGAATTTCAGTTCTTTGTTCTCTGTAAACAAGCAGAGGATTGTGCCTTTGCTGTCTAAAGGATCAAAATCCTTTTCTGTCTTTGCTCACACTTTCTCTTTCTGATCCCGCAAAGTGTTTTGGGTCAACACAGAGCAAATACTGGAATTTGAAGATTATATCTACAAGAGGATCTCTCTCTCGCTCTCTCTCTCTCTCACACACACACCTACTGCAGTCAACTAAACCACAGTTCCTGTTGCAGGATCTTACCTTCACTGAGAAGCTTTCCTGCCCAAACCCATCCAGCCGTTCTACTTCACTGATGTAAAGAAATTCTGCTTCAGCTGCAGAGATGCCACTGAAAAGGAATTGATGGAAATATGGCTAAGGGCTCTGTGGCAGACCAAATATTCAAGTCAGACCGCTGAGGATTTATTCATCTGGAATCATACTAAATAGTGATAACATTTGCAGGTGAAAATGGGTCTGGATGGTCAAACCTGGCTGCAAGACAAGGCCACCTTCCTGTTTTCTTTGTCATTCAACCCAGACGATCCAAATCTCAGGGTAAACATTCAGAAGCAAAGACATTTATAGTAGTGTGAAATGAAACTGTCCAGTCTCTAGCTGAGATATGTTGGCTGAGATTAAGTGAGGAAGTATCACGGCATAGTGCCTAATAAGGTGGTCCCCAGGTTATGAACAGGTTCTGCTCCTTGGAAAATGGAAACTTCTCTTTAAGTTGAATTTCTGTGTAAGTTGGATCATATATAGTCAGCCCTTAACATTTGCAGGGCTAGGGGCACAGGACCCCCATGAAAGTGGAAAACTGCAAATATTCCCCCCCACCAAAAAAACCCTCTCCAGTGCCTCTTTTCATCAAAGAAATGCCAGAGATTTCCCCCTCCAGAAGGGTAGGGCAAGAAAGCATGGAGGCCTCCCTCTCTCCCCTTTTGTTTCCTCTGTCTCTATGGTGATGTTTTAAAGGCTTCCCTCTCCCCCCTTTCTCTTCTCTCTCTATGGTGATGCTTTGGAGGCCTCCCTCTCTATGGGTACTGATGATTTGCTACAATAATTTTAAAAAAATTGGTAGGCTTTATGACAGTTTTCTCATAAGCACAGGTTCTTCATAACTTGGGGACTGCCTGTATCTTCAGTTGAAATCTTCAGAATGTAGGAGAAGCCATGCTGGATCAGGCCAAGGGTCCATCAAGTCTATCATGCTGCTCACACAGTGACCAACCAGCTGCCCAGAGGAAACTGACTGGTGCATGCTGGTATATTGCCTCTGATGCAGGAGGAAGCATGCAGCCATCAGGACTAGAAACCATCGATATCGTTCTCCTCCACGAATTTTTGCAATCCCCTTTTACAGCCACGGCTATATATTTTGCAGAAGTGGATTTCATAGTTCAATTACCAGCTGTCCGAAGAAGTACTTCTTGAAGTTTTAGGCAGCCCACTATTTCTCAGCTTCAGTCCCATCTACAATATGGGGCTTACAATACCCACCTCCCTGACACTGGGATCTTCCCAGAAAGAGTGTACAGCTTGTCCAAGTGCAAAAGCTTGGAAGTACTTTGCAAAAGCAACCATCCATATATGTGGGATCCAAATAATAATCAATTTATGTTTTCCACCAGGAATGACCAGCGAAATGCATCCAGAGGGTTTTACAAGAAGGACATCAAACCACATGCCCTCCATTGTTCATCTCCAGCATCCCTTTTTCACAAGTAGGCTGGCCCAGAGCCTAACATTAACCTAACACTGTCAGTAGCCAGAGTTCTCTGGGAGATGTCATTCCAAGCAGCAGCAAAACTATGGGCGAAGGAAGAAAGGCCACTTGAAGAATATAGCTCCAAGCAGTAAATGTTTCCCATAACTGAGAGCAAAAATATGCAGCAATTCAGGCACTGTCACAGTTGCGCCTCACCTGTGATTTTTGTGTTCCTGGGCTACTTTCTGAGTCAGTTCCTCCAGGACTGCTTCATCTTGGGTCAAATCCTGTAAAAAAACAAAGGAAGGCTTGCGCTCTCTCTCTCTCTCTCTCTCTCTCTCTCTCTCTCTCTCTCTCTCTCTCTGTGTGTGTGTGTGTGTGTGTGTGTGTGTAGAGAGAGAGAGAGAAGGAGGGTATCATGTACGTGCATACTGTCTAACTTCCAGCAGGCTCACAGGAGGCTAACCCTGTGATGGAACTGCCTGTGTGACAGTAGAAGAGACTGGTCCAATGGCAGAAGGGTACACAGATCATACTGACAATGGGGCTTGTGGGAAGGGGCAGTTGAAATGGGAGATCTCCCCAGTGGAGACCAACCTTCCCTTTCAGAGTTGGACCAGGTGGCTCAGCACCAACACTGGCAAGAAGCCAGCGTTGGCTAGGGGCACAACGGTGAAGTGGGGGCATGCCAGTTTCCACAGCGTGCCTCCTCTGGAGTCAGGGTATAGACAGGTTCATAAGAAGAGCTATGGGAAATGAGTAGAAGATAGGGTTCAGCATACTACTTTGTGTATGCTCAGAGACTTATGTGAAATAATGAAGATAATTAAGCCAAGAGATGGTTTGAGACTGGGGCTGGTGGGAGGAAGGAAATGTTTCATGACAGCGGTTCTCTTTGCATTTCATGAAAGGATTTGCCAACCAAATGTGGGTTAATTAATGAGCCCATAATTTGTAAGGCAACAAACTGCATGTGAACTGTAAACAATCTTTGATCAGCCTAATTCTGTAATGATGCTTTGTTTAGGGACTAAATAAACCAGGAGTTAACCTAACAACAAACCATGGGTTAACTGCTGGGTTGTTTAGTCCCTGAACAACCTACCAATCTGATTCTCATGTCAACTCACACCACTCAATCAGTCAAAGAAGTGGCTTACAGATAGTACACACACCTGTGAATTGTGGATTAAATAATCTATGATTTGCCACTGTTACACATGAACCAGGTCAGTGCATAAGCAGAGGAGAGAATTTAGGGAATTACATTTTCCACTGCAGTGTTTTAAGTGCTATGGTTAATGTTTGGGACACAAAGATGGGACCATCAAGTAAAGGAAATGTAACTACATTTCATGATTAGATCTTGCCACCAAGATGGCCACCTTCTAGTTCCCCAGCTGTAACTGTGGGCCAGATTCATTAGGCAAGTGAAGCCAAGGTTGACTGGAAGCAAAAGTCACCTGCAAAGAAAACTGTATCAAATCGTAAGCTTGGGACTTGTAGCATGAGGACCAAGAAAGACACTGAAACTCAGGAAGGGAAATGAGTTCACACAGATGCACTGGGAAGTGAGGTGAAAACCTACCCTTGATATCAGTGGTCTGATTGTCCAGGGAACTAGGCTAGTTTAGAAGCACAGGGCAGGCTTAGTGGCACATACAGGTTTGTGCTTTAGGATCAACAACTGATCTACACATTCAACCAAATTATCAGGGTAGAGTTTGCATTGCAGGAGGTGCTATTGCTTTTCTGGATACTCTTCCAGGTACAAAACTCCTGAGAGGATAAAAGCTTTTTCCGAAGGTACTAGGTTGTTTCTTTCCTTTGCAAGCAGGGAATTTTGGCTGTTTGCAGCAAAAAAAAAAAAAAAGTTTTACAAATGCTAGTGCCGTGCAGTCAGCATTTGGAAGAGGTAGTTTACTTCCTGGACTGTAACATCATTTTGCTGGAGACACAGGCAGGGCTACAGAGATGGAAAGTCATCCAGCATAAGGCTACTCATCTAGTAACAGTACCAGAAATCAGTCAGTACAAAGCAGACAACTGTGTGCTAAAATGAGAGAGACGCTGAGAGAGAAAAGAGCTTATACAGCAAGCAGCTTCCCGGAACCCATCCAAACCAGCCATGTGGCTGCATGGCAGCTCAGCAGCTCTTATCCCAGGTCATAAACCAGGTACCAAGTCACTTTCCAGTGGTCCGTACTGACTATTCCTTGGATGGTAGCTGTTCTCCAGGATTTCAGACTGGACTCTTCCCCTCAAGAGCCACAGATTGAACCCGGGACCTTTTGCAAACTGAAGTCCCGGGGACATCACACTGCACAACAGCAACACATTCATTCCAGAAAAGAAAGGACTCAACATTTCAGTAAAATATGCAGACAAGAAAAGCTAGATTCCCCTCCACAACCCGCATTCCTGTTCATACTTTGAATTATGTGATCAAAAGCTTTGTTGACTAAGTTATTTAAAATGTGCAACATAATACACTTGTAATCTTAGCAAGCTGAGGAAAGAAGTCTATTTTGAATACATGGTTTGTGTGTGGCACAAGTTACTTTTTAAAACTTGTTTGCTACAATAATTAAAACAGAATCAACTCAAAATTCCAAAGTTTAACACACATACAAAGGATGCCAGTAAACTCTGGGTGATTATTTTAGAATGCCCCAAGGCTGTGTGTATTTATACTTGACCCAACTGTCTTACTTCTTGCTCATTGGGGGCCTCCCCATAATATTTGTTCCTGACACTGAAAAATGTGAAAGCGGTAGCGTGCTAATGAAAAATGGCATGGTACGTGCCTGTACACAGCCACACACCTGCGAGGCGTTCTGTGTACATAACTTTGTTCTTTTCGCTGCTGAAGAAATGCCGTTTGACACACACTGTAGCTGCACAAGATCAAACACGGTCCAAGCGCGGCAGCCCTCCCCAGCTCTCAACACGCTGGAGGAGCGTTTCTCCCTAGCTTCCCCCTCCCCTCAGTGAAGTGTTTGGTCCACTGACCATGCAGTTAGTAAGGGCTGAATATTAACTAATTAACCAAACGATCCCACCGAGGCATCTCTTTCAAAGGGCAGGCTTTATTAAAGAACAGGGTAGGCTGAAGCCGATGGTCAGACCACTGGGTTTAGATGTGGGAAAATCTGGTTCAAGCAGGCGCCTGGCTGTTACGTTAATTGAGTGATTAGATCACACATGCTCAAAGCATCTTTCCAGCTTCCCAATATATCCAGCCAGCTCCAGGTGTTGGAGGGCCCTGGGGCAAGACACCCTCAATGGGCTCTCTCCACCAGCCAGTCTACTTCTCATGGCCATTGTCACCAGCTCATACATACGGCCTGCCTGCTCCATGGGAAGAGGGGTGGAGAGAAAGCAGACTGTGGCCACTGGACCTCCCCTTCCCGCCACCGCCATTGCTTGGACAAGGGCAGGCGGCAGGGTAGCAAGCAGGCTGCAGAGGTGAAGAGCAGGGCCAACTCCAGGAGCTCTTGCTTGTGGATCCCTGCTGGGACTGACCAGACCCTGAACCCGGCCCTGCCATCCAGAGCATCTGGGGCAGCAGGCTAGCTGAGGAGGCCCAGGGGCACATACGGCTCTGTCCTCCAACACCTCCATGCCACACTCTTGATGCCAGCGGGGCGGACTGGCACATGATACGGAGCACAGAGGATGACTGCGGGGCCAGAAGGAATCTTAAAGGCCAGTTCTCCCATGCTGTGTGTGTGGAGCTGCAAAACAAGAATCACTGCACCTGAAGGAAGGGTGGAACTACAGATTATGTGTAGCTTCTTTATTCTTTTCAGAAGCTCTTTTCTTTCCCTGCGTTTGTTTTATACCCGTCTTGCCCAAACTGGTGTCTTTCCAGTTGTTCGAGATGTCAACTCCCACCTGCCCCAACCAGCATTGCCGATGGGTAGGGATGCTGGAGTTGAATGGAAGCAACACCTCTTCTTTTTCTTACACTGATTAGAGGAGAGGGACTTTTGCAAGAAAACTGGCGTGCAGTGCAGAGGGGAGTTCCTCTACCTGAATTCAACTGTGTAAGCTGTTCTAATAATGCATTGAGGAATGCCATATTAATATCCACATGAATAAAGTATAAAAATACAACATCAACAACAGCTAAATGACAGAGTTTGGGCCACTGATCCTTCTTCTGATCAATATCTACTGTAGCCTGGCAGTGGGTCTTCAAAGTCTCTAACCGAGATTTTTCTGCGCCCTATTATTTGACTTCCTTTTAACTAGACCTGCAAGGCCTTGAACCTGGAGCCTTTTGCATGCAAAGCAAGTGCTCTACCACTGAACTAGGGGCCCAGAAGGGTGTGTTGCAAGCTTGGAAGCTGCTTTTCTAAATGCAGGTCGATACATAAAACCATTGTAGCAAGAATGATGGAATATTTGATTGCTTGGTTAAGGCAGTCAGTATCCAGCAGCACCTTAATTCCATGGAGAAAAAAGAAAAAGGAAATCAACAATGAATTAAGGAACTGTGTTTATTAGAGGACAGTTTAACATAGTGAGACTGTGGCTGATGATACAGGGGAAAATGTCACCCATGATAATGTTGCAAATAAAACTATCCCTGAAGTAATAAAGGATTGAATTAAAAAATTGAAAATAATAAAGGTTCAGAGGTTAACTTACCATAGGAAACAAAACATATTCCCGGAGAAAATCATGAGATTCAAAGTGATGGTAGTCTCCAAAATCAGCTGGATAGGAGATGGGGAGAAAAGAGAGAAATCACAAGCTAACTAACTCAGCTCCATCTGGACAAGAAAGCTTCCATTTACACCAATCAGCAAGTAGGGACACTCAGAGTAACTGTGAAGTCAAGGTCTTAAATCTCTGACTTGAGAAGGAAGTAGTTACAACCACTATGATTCTCACTGATTTGTTCCATAAAGGGGAAGAGCTTTGTAACTGAGGTTCAGGGATACTATGGTTTTCCTCGAACATACATCATGTTAGAACAGAGTCATCTAATAAAGTTGAATGGCTTTCTTACTGGTCCGAACTAACAGGGATCTTCTTATGTTCTTACTTTGCCTTGGGGCGCAATCCTATGCATGTTTAGACAGAACATAAGTACTACAATGCCCAGCATTCCCCAACTTACATGGCTGCCTGGGCCATGCTGGGAACTGCAGGACTTTTCTGTCTAAACATGCAGAGCCTTGCATCTTTATGTATGTTTTGCTTGTTGTGGATTAGGAGCTGAAGTCAACAGATAAACCCACTTGCAGAAGCTATGTTAGCATTAGCACTGGTGACTATTCCTTGCCTGCAACACATAACAATGAACAAATGACTGTCTTCATTTTCTGAAAGTTTTGGAATTAAAGAATAAAGTTGGAAATAGTTCCTAAAGGCTAAAAATACTTTACAAAAGACACTCCTTTATTTGTTAAAGACATTTCATTTGAGAGGGAGAGAAGAGAGAGAGAGAGAAGAGAGAGAATGCCCAAGAGCTCATATTTTGTTCTATCTGAATCTGATCAAACACTGCCAAAAAGTTCTCAAGAAGCTGGAAATTCCCTTCATAAATTACCTAAATCAAACATTCCTACAAAGCCCTTCAAGATAATTTCAAAATCTCTGTAAATGAAGGCAAAAACCCCCCGGAATGGAATTCCCTGTATCGCTTATCAATCAAGGCCAACAGTTTACACAGACAATTTACAACACGGGTATAAGGTTTTTTGAATGCCACAAAACACTGGAACAAGAGAAGAGATTTCATCTCAGCCATAATTCCTCAGTATGAGCATTATGTGCGGTGAGCCCTGAGCTTGCACACTGACTCCTCCTGATTCATGCTAAAAAGATGGAGATCAAACACTTCTCTTTCTCATTTTTAACAGTTCTCCACAATTTCAACTATCTTAGAGACAACAGGCCAGAATATTAAACCATTTTCTTCCTGAATTGATTTCACAAAGCCTAGTTTCCTATCATGGGGCACTGTGATTAGTTTAAAACTTTGTATCTCTTCCTCTGGTGTGTGAAAGAGGAGAAGGAAATACATACAAGTTCAAATCTTACACAGGCTCATTCACATCATGGAAAACTACGGTATTTCCAACAGACCACCATCTGACTCCATGTCAATTCTTGCAAAACAGTAGCAGTAGCTAGATAGTTTATCTGTAGTGGTACAAGAAGATGTACAAGAACATCCAAATGGAGTAGCTAAGTACAATGGTGGTGCTTATAAGCCTGCAAGCTTGGAAGATGATGGGCAGCTTTTGTAGGGTGAAAGAGGCATATGGGCATCTTCCCATTCCTCCTGCCCTGAAAGTCTGCTACAAGGCTGGTTTAGGTTAGCTGGAGAAGGAAGGAGGCTGGAACACCACAAAGATATGTATCCAGGCAGACCTGGTTCCTTTCCCCTAGCATTCCCTTTTGACCCCCTCTCCAAGGTTGCTGATATGACTTCAGAGAAGCAGCTGATGCGGTTCTTTCCATGGCAGCTCCTGGACAGTGGAAAGGGGATTGGGATCCACTTGGATGGGATCCCAAGAAGCCCTTGGGATCCTCATCTCCATGAGCTGGTGCTTTTTTCTGACCCTGATCTGGGACTCCTAAATGCTGTCTAAAGTTCACAGTTTCTTTCTACCTAAGTGTTATATGAGAAAGCATGAACTATGTTCAAGCTCTTCTCTTAACATGATCCCCTCTCAACATTTATCTACTATTCATGTTTCTAATGGAACTCAGAACAACTTGGATGGGCTTCCACTTAATGAAAGATGGGGTAAAATTATGATTTCAGTACTTCTCTACAATATTAGACTTCCAAGACCACATCAACACCTTGCTATAGACTTTGTCCTTCAACTAATGCAAGAATCCTGAACATTTTTACTTTAATTTGAGGAAAGCAGGAGAAAAGTTTCTAACATTTATAATTGCATAATTATTTAAATATTCCATTTCTATTCCAAATTATATAGTAACCCAGTTTTGAAAAATTTAGATCACTGGCTTACATACGAAATACTTTGAAATGTCACTTCATTACCAATTCTATCCTGCCTGGAATGTGTTTGTGTTATGGTCAAATAAGCAGGTAAGCTGAGAAAGAGTTAGCAGGTGTGTTCATCCTACCTTGAACTGCCAATGCAGCTAACCTTATCCCTTGTTCAAATGAAGATCTCAATCGCCCATCAAGAACATCTTTTTTAACTTGTAGGTAATACTGATACCTAAGGGGGAAAAGATACAATAAAGTGAAACTCACATTGCCTATACTGTTATTTTGCCTTACAGAACAAAGAGATTGCTGAGCGATTATGCTTGTACTCAAACAAGTTTAGTATTTACATTCCATACAAATGTGCATATGAAACCAAGGACCACTGCTTCAGCAGAAAAGGAAAATTTTTATTCTGTGTTTGTCAGGCTATATTGCAAGGCATGGGGCTACTGAAAGTGTTTGGGAGTCTACCCACTGATGCTTCTTCTGAACTCTGCAGTACTCCTACCCACGCAAGTCCTTTTCCATTGCTATTGGCCTGAGTGCAGCAACAGGAATTAGGCATTGGCTCATGATTCCATCAGCCGGCTAGTTCTTGCAAATAATTCTTCATTCAAGAGGTCGACTGACATGAGCAGTACTATACCTGGTGCAAAGACACGTGCAAGTTTATACTGGCTATTTCCATGATTAGAAACACTTAAAAACTCTGCTGCAATGGGGGAGGGGGGATGCAATCTTTCCAATTTAGCACCATATAAGCACTAACATCAAATAAATAAACACGAACAGATTTTAAAAAGTAGGTAGCCACTTTCCAAGCAAAAAAACTTCTACCCTATTCAGTAAGTGACTTTTGCTATGTGCTTTGCATGGGACTACAAAGTTACAGCTGCTATTGTATCCCCATTTATTAAAAATCCAATGTTTTTTGACTGGGTATCAGCCTAATTTTGCAATACACTATAGAAATTTGGCAAAGCTTAAGAGATTCTCTCTGCCCACTTCTTGAAAATGCAAACTTAAGTAAGTTTACTCAGAAGGAAGCCTTACTGAGTTCAACATGTTTTCTTAGTAATAGTGAGTCCTTTTGAACTTTAAAATATTTCCTGCATGACTTTCACAACACAGCAAAATGTAGAGAACTAAGAATTCTGCCCTACTTAGCTGGAAGATATAGAGATAAAAACTAATGATTAAAGGCCCCTGAAGGTCTATTGCAGCCTTCCCTGACTGTTCAGGGTGTTTAGCACACTTGTAGGATGCCTCCTGGCCTATTTAATCAATGGAACTCTCCAGCACATTTTTTGCTTTAATAAGTCCCATACTGCTGTTGTCAGCTGGTTGCCACAAGTCTGGAATGTCTCCTAAACAGAGCAAAGGGGTCTGTGCATCTCCTTTTAAAATCCAAGCCCTCCTCCAGCCCCTCGCCTGCCACTGAAAGAGACAGATACAAGCACTTGCCACTAGACAGCACCAGAGTTCCAACCAAGTCTTAATTCTCCAGCTCACAGCACAGACACAAGATTGTCATTAAAACACCACCTCAGATCACCACAGTGAGCTGAAAGGCTTGGTGCTTTAGAAGGAGGTTTTGCTAGGCCTTATCTTTCTGAAAGAATTCGGGAAAATCTCTAAATAGAGATGCCCAGGAAAAGGAAAGGCAAAGTCAGAACTTGGAGGCGAGCAGACTGCTAACAGAAGACCCTACAGACAGGAAAAGCAAGGAAGGAGCCTAAAGGCACACAATTTGTTTCCAGGGCCATAAACTAGGATTGCTATGATCTTCCATTCTGATTTGAATTTTCCCCACCTATGACTAGGTGTCCATTGCAAGGATATGGCTGTAAACCTGCAACAGGCAGAGGAATACACAAAGTTTCCTCTTACCAAGTCAGAGCAAGTGCCCATCAAGCTCAGTATGGATAACAGTGATTCTCCAAGGTAAGAGCCAGGGGTCAGACTAGATGGGCCAGGAGGCCCCTTCTGACTCACTCTGTTGCTATGTATCTCCAATATTTCAGGGAGGAGATTTTTCAGCCTTCCCCAGAAAGGCTGCAGATTGAACCCAGGATCTCTAGCTTGCAAATCAGGTGGACCTGTCCATGAACTATGGCGCCTCCCCAGTCAGGCAAACTTAGGATCCACCGAAGTGCCCAAGCAGCACATCTGTGTGGCTGTAACTGGATGGTACCTATTTAACTTTTGTCTGTGTGTTCCAAGTATGTGCTTTTTAAACTCTTTTTAAAAATCTTATTTTAGTTCAACTTGTACAGCTACAGAGATAGGTCCAAAATGGGAAGATATGCCTGGGGGAAGAGTCCCTGCTGTGAAATTGCAACATGTACGAACTCTGAACACTGACACATTTATTCTGTGACAGCTGTCAAAGAGCAAGCTTTCAAGTGAGAGCAAAGGTGTGAGTAGGCATCCTTCCCTCTCCTTCCCTCAGTTTTGAGTGCTCTCCCCACCTCTTCCTATACACACACAGGTCTCACTGCCCCAACTCCCCCCTCCCCATTTTTGAGCATCCAGGACCTTGGGAAGGTGGGAAAGTGCCTCCTTTCACTAACACTTGCTTCTGACGGCTGTCCAAGTTTCTCTGAATACAGGAATATAAGCAAGGCAGGGCCATTTGAATGGGGAAGCATGCCTGTGACCTATGACATCAATACAACAAGCAACCCATGTGGTTTATTGCCTGGAGTGGGCTACTGTGATGTGTGAAGCTGCCCCTTGTCTGGATTTCTGGTTAATTATGGGCCTCTGGCTGTGTGATGCTTCGTTTGAACATTGCACTGGGAAGGGAGTGCTTGCTTCCTTACTTTCCAGTCTAATCCTTACTGAAGATTGCTCATTCCATGTGTGTTGGAACCGAAAAGTAAAAGTTCCCCTTAGTCCCAATGGAAACCTTCTCCCTAAAATTCCAAGTTCATGGAAGGAGCCCTTTCTGGTCAGGACACAGCTGGAGAATAAAGAGGTAAGCCTCTCTTTGCACTGACCTGTGTTTAAAGCAAAAATCAACAGAGAGAGACACACACACACACCCTCTAAAAACAAAAACAGGACACAGCTACACACTTTGCAACAAGTGTAATGCATAGCTTGGCTCTTACCTCAAAGTAAACATTGGGACCATGATCCACATTGCAGCTGCCACTCATGAAGGCATGAAATTTAATCTGTTCCTCTCCGGCCATATCCTTCCATTGCTGCACTCTGGACTACCAACAACACATCCCATTCGCAGGAATGGGATTGTTTTAACCATCCCTAACTGCCATGTGGGGGCATTGATTTTCTGGGAAGCAAAGCACGAGGCAGACTAAACTACCCTCCCCGTGAATTGTGATGCTGTGTCACAGTTACTTTGCAGTAAGAAGAAAGCAGAGATGTAGCTGCACACTAAAACAAACATATATTTTGAGCTCAGGCTAAATGAAACAGAAACCCATGGTGTACCCCAACAACAGTGGGACACCCATTGGTTATTTCATTTTTATCCTCAGCACAACATCCTTTTATCCACACGAAAACCCTTTCAGGGAGATTGGGCCAGGCAATGGGAGACTAGCTCAAGCTTTCAAGCCGTATGGAGAACTGAACTCAAGTCTTTCTAGTCCAAGTTCAGTAGCCACTACAGTACACTGGCTCTCAGAACTCCTTGCTTACTGCCCTGATTTTCTAAAAGTGGAGCTTTCCTGCTTTTACTGTCGATAAGACTATCACAGATTGCCAATCTCATTCCAAGGGGTACAGATGGGAGTGGAGAACAAGCCCGGACAAAGATGTAATTATGAGATGGTTCTTTCCCTTCAGCAGAAAACATGAGCTGTAACCTTGTGCATTATCAGATGCATATCACTATATTTACTATAAAAGGATGGGATGTTGCTTGGGAAGCGGAGCAGGGCAAAAGCTTTATCTGATCCAAATCAGCACTGCAAGGCAGAATCTTCTTGTTCTGTTTGAGATTCTTTACTCTCAGTGCTTGTCCAAGGAAAGTGTAATTCGAACTGCCACAACAGCATTGTTAGCAGTGCAGGCTGAACGGGCCAGTCACTGATCAGTGGAATCCCAGTGTAAAGCCAACACATGGCAGAAGGCAAACCTCAGTGTCCCACTTATACATCAGCTTGCATTTCAGTGCAAACCAACCCTGAACTTTCAGAATAATGCAGAGGTATTCCCACGATCAAGAGTTCCTGAATGCTAGGAAAATACTTAAAAGGGATACAGATTAGATTTTTTTAAAATCACTTTGTTGTTATAGAGTACTGCAGGGGTCTGCGGTATGCCATGGAGTACCGCAGGGGTCCATTTTGTCCCCTTTGCTGTTTAACATCTACATGAAACCGCTGGGAAAGGTCATCAGGAGGTATGGGCTGCGGAATCATCAGTACGCTGATGATACCCAGCTCTACCTCTCGTTTTTCACCAATCCAGGTGAGGCAGTGGCTGTGCTGAACCGGTGCCTGGCCGAGGTAATGGGCTGGATGAGGACCAATAAACTGAAGCTCAATCCAGACAAGACGGAGGTCCTGTTGGTTGGCGGATCGGGCTTTGGTGAGGGTGAATTGAACCTAGTCCTGAAAGGGGTTGCATTCCCTCTTAGGGACAAGGTCCGCAGCTTGGGAGTGCTCCTCGACCCAGAGCTTTCACTGGAAGCTCAGGTGACAGCGGTGGCAAGGAGCTCTTTCTTTCAGCTTCGGCTGATCCATCAGCTGCGCTCCTACCTGGAGTACGACTGCCTGGGGACAGTGACACACGCGTTGGTGACTTCCCACCTTGACTTCTGAAACGCGCTCTACGTGGGGCTACCCTTGAAGACAGTCCAGATACTTCATTTGGTTCAAAATAGAGCTGCCAGGCTGCCGATGGGGACTGGGCGTTATGTTCACATGACTCCAGTCCTCCGTCAGTTTCACTGGCTTCCCATTGAAGTCTGGGCCCAATTCAAGGTGTTGGTGATGACCTATAAAGCCCTAAACAGCTTGGGTCCTGGTTACCTGAAGGAGCGCTTACGTCCATATATGCCTGCCCGCCCCGAGATCAGCGGAAGAGGCCCTTCTTCGGGAACCCTCTGTGAAGGAAATTAGGAGGGTGGCTACTCGGAGGAGGGCTTTCTCTGCGGTGGCTCCCAATCTATGGAATGCACTCCCCAAAGAGGTCCGCCTGGCACCGTCGTTATTTGTTTTTCAGCGCCAGGCAAAGACCTTTTTATTCAAG